GACAAACTCGCTGCGAAGTGGAACAAAAGAATGAGTTGAGCATCTTTATATATAGAGATCCTATTAGATATATTGTATTTTTATAAAATGGTCACCACGTTTTGCCAATTGCCCGCTTCCAACAGCTTTTCGAGGTGGAGTAAGGCTAAATTGTTGCGAAGCGCCAGTTTTGATTTCTATGGAGCGCAGTGAAGTTAAATGTCTGATTCAAAAAGGTTCAACAGTATTAAGGCTAGCGTTTCTTGCTCACTGCCTGTTCGAATGAAAATGAAGTGTAGTCAGGGTATTTGGGTTTTATATGGTTTTATGATAAAATAAGCAGAGCGTAGTAAGGCTCAATTTTTGCCAACTGGCTGCTTCTACTGCTTGCATCGAAAAAGGCCATGTTGCGTAGTAAGGCTAATTTGTTCAGCTGCGTGCTAAACAAACATTTGACAGAAGCCTGAACTTGCCAACATGTTTGTTTTCCTAAAAATGTGTGTTTGCAAACTGTTTGCTTCCTAGGAACTATTTGGGGCAAAACAAGACTGCATTTTGCCAACTTGTTCCCCCCAAATCTTTTTTAGGCGTACAATGCCTAACTTGGCAACTGGCTGCCTCCAAATTGTTTAACTAGACATAGTAATAAGCCTGAATTTGGCATCCTATTGACTTGAGCACAGATCAGTTCGAAAATATGCTGGCAGCACGTGGTCGAACCAAACTGGTCCAATGCGATGTCAAAAAAACACCGCAGAGGGCGTTGGTAAAGCCTGATTACCTGCATGACAGAGCCTGGATAATCCCTGTTGCTGGGAAATACCTGGCAGGGGGAAGGAAGATGTGTGGGCTCCGGTAGTATTCCTGGCCCAAGCTGCGTTTGTGTGGCACACCAAGGGCATTCAACGGAAGTTGTTCGACATTTCAGCGTTTGTTAGGTGGTCGCGACGAGCCAGCATTCGAACAGGAGTGTGCTATGTAGGGTGGATATGGGTGGATTGCTAAGTTGCAAACTGCTTCAAGGCAGTTCTATACAGCACACGTGCTGTTGGTTTGCAATGGGTGAATGCGCGGTGGCTTTTCTGCCGGGCTTCGAGGCTGACGAGCAAGTTACACAAAACTGAGCCCAAGGGAGGAGGCTAGCGGGAAAATGTAGTAAATCAGTCAACCTATCCCTGGCCGCCACTGCCGACAAGCACAGACTCAGACAGAGCAGCCATTCTTTGCACCGCTACAGTGCCAAGCAAATGCACCCGCTTGCCCGTGGCAAGAACAAAAAGACACAGGACATGTGCTGCACCGCTGCATGTTTGAGTGACCGTCAACACACATGCCACCATGCATGAGCTTGAGACACCACGCAGCTGCATGGCAGTGGGATTTCATTGTCTTCACGTCCATAGATTCCAAGTTGTGACTCGTTTTTCATCGTTTTTCCATCTTGCCAATGCTGAGGAGCCGTTGTGAGGCTCATGAGAGGCAAAGGCGGCGCCTGGTGGACGAGCTTGGCGATCGAGAAGCGCAAATGAAGAACACGCAAGAGTGACTGATCTCGAAGGGCGGGGTCTCAGGAAAAGGGATGTCTTGGCTGTCGCTCCAGGTGGGAATTGATGAGCCTAAGGCTGTCAGGCGGAAAAACGTCGGCGATGCGGTGCAAAACATGTGTTTTTTGATGTACTCCTGTCTACCTAAAAGCTTGGCGGGTCTGTGGTTTTGGTGTTTTAATTGTGTTTTTTCTCATCCATTGAGTTACCCGAAAAGCAATCATGTGGAGAAGTTGACATGTCCGTGCAAGATCATGCAAGCAATGATGTAGCAATCTCGCCATGTGAGCCCCTTGTGCGTTTGTTTTCTGTGGCATGTGAACCCACACATCGCAAACGCTGAGGCTGCAAGAGGAACTCCAGATGCTGCAAGGCAAACTACAACTCTCGGAAGTGCAAGCGAGTGGGTTCTTGCGTGCCGAGAATCAGGCGGGTGGAGGAAGGCGTAGTCTTGAGACTTGAGAAGACCACAAACGGAGTGTAGTTTTGATGTTTCATATCATCACTTTTCGGAAACGGCGAGCCTGGGCTTTGTTTTTTGTTGTATGTGAAGACAAATGCATATGGCTAGTGGCTTTGCGAAGCGAGATGCCAAAGCCGAGGTGCAAAGCCTTCAAAAGAAGTGGCTGGACGCACGATTGCAATGCCAGGCCAGGATACTGATTGCACATTGTAATTGCCACCTTCATCCTGGAAGGTCACACAGTTCTGCTTCTCAATCTGACATGCCGGTTGTCAGCACGGGTCATCACGAGATCCATAAATCTGTACACCCAATCACAAGAAACGTCAAGAAACCCACATTGAGTGAGTGTGTGCATTGAGTGAGCGTGGTGGTCTACGCTCAAAAATGGCATCAGACCTTTGGAAACCGTTTGAACGTCCACGGTTTCCGTTTGAACATAGGCATCTGAAGAGGAACTTTTGAAGTGCCAGCAGCTGTTTGAGGAGGCGTCTACGCGTCGACCGCGTCGACACGCTGTCTCTTTTGGATGCGTCAGACGGCGCGTGGCGCGTGGCGAGCGCGAAGGGAAAAGGACGACGCAAGCGGGCGCGGTTGCTCGCATGGGAGAAACGACTCTGGCGGCAACCCATGCAGAGAGGATCCCGCAACCATCCACAGCCAAACAGTCGTCAGATGTTTTTGATGTCTTACTGTAATCATTGGCCAAAGACACGTGGCTGGATTGATCTCTGCCTGATCACAGCGTCCCGTGAGGAAGAGCAAACTGCTCGGCAACTGGATGCCGCAAAGAAGAGGCATATGGAGTCGGCTGAGGCACATGGAGTCAGCTGCATTTGGTTCTTGCACTGGTCCAGAAACGATCTTGCCTCCAGTTTTGTGGTTGCAGGAGACGCGCAAGGCGCTGGACAAGCTGCAAACAAAGAGCCAACGATTGGAACTGGAGGCCGGGAAGGGTGCACGAAAGTCTTTGTCGCGCTGAAGTGGCTAAGCATGGCTATAAGATGCTATAAGCACAGCTGAAAAGCCGATGATGAAAGTCGATGAACAAAGCAGAGTACGAATGTCGCAAGTCCCTAAAGACGATGAGTCGAATGTCCAAGGACTCGGTCGCTTTGGCCTTATAGACTTTGTTGCGTCTCCAAAAAAAAACAACCGGTCGCCACGCACGAAACTCATGTCCAAACTCCATTTTGGTGTTTCTAACCAAATGTTCGGCCAGGAAAGGGGAGTTTCTCATTGACCTGTGCCCTCCAATGACTAGCTCTTCACTCGACTGACCTAGGCGACATCTCAAGCTCGAAGTGGAAAGCTGAGCTGCGCTGATTTGATTTTGAAGACCACGTGCGTATTGTAAGCCTCGTAGATTTTGAAGATGTAGAATCAGTTTTAGACTCTTCAGACACCTTATACATCCTTATACTGTGAGATTTTAGAATTAAAGTGAAGATCAAACAAGCAAATTGCAAGAGTTCAGGCCAGGCAAACCACCATCTGGTACCATGCAAAACACTCTTAATTCAGATGGATCCAAGGAATGGTTCATGAGGAGGACACACTCAGAGGCTGGTCATGGCTGGGTCTGGCTGGGGTGTCGTTAGAAGCCATAGGCCATGATGCCACGCACCACAGCCACGAGCCACAGGAATCTGATGTTTATGATTATGTGGGGATTAGGGTTTCCCAACACCACCCGGACCCACCAGCGAACCTCAAATGACATGCCCAGAAAGGCCAACGAATTGGTTTTGACTTCCACATTGACCATGCAGAGTATTCGTGTCTTCGTCGACTCGACTCTTCAGAGTTGAAACGACTCTCCAATCTCCAAGTACTGAGGTATGGAGCACGCCCTAGAGGAAGTTCACCAGGAACTCGATCGCTTCCGTAGCTTGGTGGATTTGCGGGCCCAAGCTGAAGTCCCAAGAAGTGGTATATAGATGAATTTGGGATATAGTAGGTTTAGTATGCATCAACAACGAGGAGTGTGGCAACTAAGTATATTGTTTCTTTTGGCTTCTTTGACGACTCATCCTGGACTATTTCACGAATATGCCCTTCTGGATTTGTCCCTAGCAGCCACACACACACACACAGATGCAATACCGCGAGTTCAAGAGGACTGTCGTTTGCAAGGCACTGAGCAGCAAGTGCAGCTGGCAGACACCATGGGCGCGAAGGTGCGCGCACAGATGGAGTTTGCTGGTGCAGAGGCTCGGGAGAAGGCTCTTCAAGTGGAGGCGCATCTGAGCTCCTTTCTTGTGTGGGTAGTCAGGTTGGGAAACACAACCCCCAAATCAACGATGTTTCTCATATATAGTTGTTCATTTTGGACATGTGGGTGAAGCTATTAATGAATCTACTCAGTTACTCAGGGACTGCCGTTGTTTGTGGAAAGGGAATGCCAGTCATGACCAAGGATTCGGGATTGAGATCCGCGAATTTCCTCTAAAAAATCAGGCAACCGGGGTTGTCATAAAAAACGAAAACGGATGAACACATACAGTGCCAGTCTACAACTGGAACTGGGGGTTCCCATTTTCTATCAGGGCAAGAGGTGATTGATTTATTAGAGAATTTGGTTGTCGAGCAATACCTCGAGATTTGGTGCCGATTCTTTAGAGAAAAGAGTCTTTGCAAAGCCAGATTTGCAAATCCAAGCACGGGCTCAACCCACAGATGCAGAGACCATACCAGGATCATCTATAGATGATATCAGGACATATCAGGATTACATATGTTTCCAATGGTTTGCAAGCTTTTGGTCCATCAGCAGTTGGATTCACAGTGAAGTTAAAGATCAATAACGATGATAATAATTGATAATCTATGATAATCTATCTTATATTCCAACAGGATAGTTTTGAAGGATGCTGGATGATCAGATAGGGTCCAGTGAACTTTTCTATTCTGTAAACATGCCTGCAGCGGCAAGTCATGAAGAAAACATGCATGAGTCGACTTTGTTCCACTCGAACCCGGACATCTGATTCTTTAGGCCTTTTGGCCTGTTCCTTCAAGTCTCCGATTCTTTAGCAGAGGCATTCTGGCTATTGATTCTTTAGAGAATGTCCTTTATTTTTTAGTGCCACTTCTGGACCCTGAACCTGGGGGTTCCTAAAGAATTGACAGTCCGGGTGTGAGTGCGAATTCGAAGGATGGATTGAGTATGTAATTTGGCAGAGAGTCACCCCCAGGCAGCACAAGAGTACCGCCAGCGGGAGGGACTGCGCAGCTTGCTGCTGGCAGAAGAGACGCTGAGCTGCAGAGTGTTTATACATGCTTGTGTGTCGAAGCCCGGAGCACAAACCCTGGTAGGTTGACTTCATCCCTGGTAGTCTATTCTGTTCATTTTCGGAATATCCTGTAAGAAAAGACGTGTCGACCTGATCGGAGCTGAGAGGAGCTCCGTCCGAGGAGCCGCTGCGATGCGCAAGAGAGACGTGTGCGGCGCCTGGTGGACGAGCTTGGTGATCGAGAAGTGCAAATGAGAAATGTGCAAGAGTGGCCTGGCGCTGAGGGAAAGAGGGAATGAGGATGGCTGAGTGACTCCACCACACAGGATGTGTGGGGTAGTCAATTCTCAGACAGTAAACAAAGCTTAGTCAATTGGGATCAAACAGGTATTGGTTGGACTCTCCTTGGGGATGATAAGCTACTTGTGCGTCTTTTGTTCGAATGGGGAGTTCAGTGGGGTTTGAGGCATGGTTGCTTGGGGGCAGATGTCTCAAAATGTGTCAAAAATATCAAATTATTATAGTTGCCTTTAAGGAATTGCCATGGTACCTGCACTTACATATTGTGCTGAAAGCAACACTTTCGCTGGGGCCCCGGGGCTGACCACAAAAGAATGAATGCCGAAGTTTGGCCAAAGGTCTTGGGTGGATCTAATTGTCAGAGAAGAAAGGGGGATCAAACTTGGCTTGCACTAAAACAACTTTGGAGCAGGCACCTCCTTGTTTTTCCTGAGATCCATCTTACATGCCCAGGTTGCAGGAGGAGCTCCATGTGTTGCAAAGCAAACTGCAACTCTCGGAAGTGCAAGCAAGGGGGCACTTGCATGCGGAGAATCAGGCTGGGAGAAGAGTCTGGGTACTCACGACTTGTCACAGGTCTCATGTTTGGGGCCTTGAACCTTTTCTGGCGTTTGGTTTTCCCTGTAAAATTCCAACAGGTGGAAAAAGGTTAACGGTTGACCTTTATTTTCCCGGGAAACTGAGGGGTTCCGATATAGACTGAATAGTTTGGTCATCTTTCGTCTCATGGAAATGTACTTGGGAAAAGCGGGCATGGCCAGATCCTGTGTCCCATGTCTTGAAGCCTGAGGTGCAGACGCTTCAAAAGAAGTTGCTGGACGCTCGTGTGCAATGCCAGGCCAGGATGGTGTGGACAAGGCTCCAAAGTGGTTTAAAATATAGCTCCAACTTTGTGACCAGAAGATGAATAGATGCTTCCACAACTCAGGTTTCTCTCAAAATGGAACTTGATCAGTATGACCAGCAGATATGATTATTGATAATATATGCAGAGGTGTGCAGGCGCACGCGCCAAGGCATGCCCGCGTCGAGTTGGCATGTAGCGGTCGTTGTCCATGTCCATTGTCCCTCAAACCATCTCAGACCTCTGCATTGGAAATTGACTGCCTTCTTGGACGCAACTGAGGCATCTGAAGAGGAACTGTTGAAGTGCCATCAGCGGTTTGAGGAGGCCAGGCGTGGGCCGAATCTCTTTGGCCAAAGATGTCCGACCGGACCTGTGGGGCCCAGCGCCTTTGAAGAATCGTCGGACTAGGTCGGAATCCACCATGCATCCAAGAGGAAGACTTGCACCCGAACCCAAAACAAATGCGTCGTATACAACAGGCCAAGCAGTGTTTGAGTTTTGCCTCTTTGGCCTGTCCTATTTGGCCTCGCTCAGGGGGCCTCGGATCGTTCTGCAGGAAGAGCAGGCGCTTCGGCAGCTGGAAGCGGCCAAGAAATGGCACATGGAGTCGGCCGAGGACGCGGTCAGTGACCGTGACTGGCGAAGCCCAAGGTCGGTGTCATCGTGGGAAGACTGGACAGAACTTGCTGGCGGCTGGAAGCGGTTCTTTTGTGAATTGCTGTTTCTTGCCAAACCCTCCGAAAGGGGGCATAGCAACGAGTACAAAGCATGTCTCGAAGGGATTGGTTTTGTATCCAATTGGGTATTGATTTCAGTTGCCTTATTATGTAACTTATTTTGGTTCGTTTACTTCCTGACACCTCGACCTTGATTTCATCTATCTTCGTTCCTTTACGTTGATGGCTCCACCAAGAGGTGTGTTTTCACGGGGGCCGAGTTGCAGGAGGCACGAGAGGCCTTGGAGAAACTCCAAACAAAGAGCCAACGCTTGGAACTGGAGGCCGGGAAAATCGGACTCCAAGCAAGAAACCTGGCAGACTGTGCAATAGCAGAAAAGAAAGAGAAGGTTGAGAAGGACAAAGCAAGCCGAAACAGATGAACCATCAGAAAAGCCTAGGCCAAGACAAAATGCTTGCGGGATGAAGACTTCTGTAGACTAAGCTTGACTCATGCTGATACTGATGATCAAAGAGTCTGCGAAAAGACTCAGTCGGCTCAACTGCCACCTACCCAGCCCACCCACCGCAAGAGAGCTTCCTTGCGACATGGTCATTTCGTGGAAGGAAAATTGGAGTGGCATGGTATTGGGAAGGTCAATAGAAGAAGCAGACTGAAAAGCGTGACAGTGCTTCTTATCAGTTTGACGCTGTAAAGTTTGGCCATGACTGGCAAAGTCAATTTATTTGATCAGATGATCACTTTGTTACTCCACATACCTGCTGGCTTTTGGAACCACCTATGTCCCCCCCTTTCGCACCCAGACCATCCAAGCCGTCAACCGGTCACGGGAAAGGCCACCTTTCAAGCTCGACGTGGGGGAGCTGAGCGTCCGGAGACGGGTGAAGCGAAGGGTGGCGTCTGGAGATGGGTGAAGTGCCATCGTGGCAGAAGACTTCTGTATGAGATGGATCCTGTGCAGAGGCCCATGCATCACGACATGTCATGACTGTCGACACAAGGAATGACCCATGAAGAAGAAGCTCTCAGAGGCGGGGAAGTGGGGTGGATTTGGGATCCATACAACTCGGGAGGAATTCGGTTTGGCTCTAACATTTTGGCTAAGAGGAGAAATCTTGTTGCGAAAGCCAGCCGATAGGCTAGGAGTGCTTGATAGGCGAACGAATTGAGTATTAGGGGGTGGGGGGTGGTTGCGAGGATGAATTTGGTAGGTAGGGTGAACCTAAATCCTGGTGGGGGAGCGAGTAAACAGAAGGCAGAGACAGGCAAACTTTCACATTGGGGTTCGATATGATATAGTCTATTTGATATAAGCCTTAACACAAGGCTTTTGCTAATTTTTAGTTATTGTTACTGGTCATAGGAAGGACAATTACTAAATTATGCATTCGTTTGAGAATATGGCTGATGGGTCAGGGAGCCCACATTCTGCTTCGTTGAATCCCACGCTCTTGTACAAACAGAGAGCATTCACCGTTCTAGGGGGTGCCCATTTTTTTCGGCTTTGGACCTTTGTCGCGCAAAGGGCACCCCCAACATAACTTCTTAGACTGTGGCAACTCGCGGTAGTCCAGGAGAACCTAGGTGAATGATCAATCGCTCAATCCACTCATCCGATGCTTTGACCTAGGTTTCATGATTTTACAGCCCCCAAGGTTAAGCCAGTGAGCGTAGTACCACTGCCTGACTTTGGGGAAGACAAACCAGCAAAGGAGTGAAAGGGCACCAGCAAAGGAGTGCTATCTTCTGGGATCTAGCTAGGTCTCCCCAAGTAGTTGTAAAGAAAATACTTTGAAAGACCATGTCTGCAGTCTGTTCGAAGGGCATGTGTGGCCCAGTGGTGGTGGCCCGTTTGATCATTTTGTCACGGTTTTGGGGAAGACAGAAAGGGCACCAGCAATGGAGTGCTATTTTCTGGGTGAGGAGAATACGTTGAAAGACTACGTATGTTTGCGGTCTGTTTGAGGGGCATGTGTGGTCCAGTGGTGGTGCCCGCTTTGATCGTTTGTCATAGCTAGGTCCTCGCAAGCAGCCACAAAGAAAATACGTTAAATGAATATGTTTGCGGTCTGGTTGAAGGGCTGCCTTTCGTATATACATGTACGTGAGCATCCAACAAAGTCGCTTGAATGCCAAAGTAGTCACAGGTTGGTCTTTGGATATTGGAGACCTGGATCAACCTCCCTAACTGATGTACCTTCGCATGTACCAACTAAGTACTTAAGGAAGCATGTTGCCATGCTACATTTGTATATGGCGTAAGCATGCACAAACACTTGGTATGTTGTTTTTCTCACTTTGAGTTGCTTGCAACAGTGAGTGGACTTGTTTTCCAGCTGAATGGAAAGAAGTTGTTGTTGCACGCTGGCAACTGGATGATGAAAGTTGCTGTTGGCCTTTGGCTGCCTGCCAGGGGCCACATATTTTGTGAAACCATTGCAGCCAAAAAGGGTGTGCCTCTAACTGGTGTACGGGTCTTTAAAAGAACTGCAGCATACATTGCCTGCTGTTGAGAGTAGCCCTGCCGTTTGTGGCCGAAGTCAGTGGCTCAAAGAGACATGTTGAAAACCTACAAACTTCCAATCGCTGACTAGTTGCGTGTTTTTCCTGCAGCGCCTAATTGGTGCCCCAACAGATGCACGGTTTGAACATGTTTGTGCTAATGGGCTTAAAACCGCGCGTCTAGTGAAACTGATTTTTCATACAGTCCTTTGGGGGGCAAGAACACACACAAACACACGCATAGGAATATGGAAGATGGGGACACGGCGGATGGGGTTAGGGGGGAGGGGGGGTTGGGTGGGGCTAGTGATGTTCATGTTGTGTGCATTTATATTAGGAAGCCACACACGCACACGCTGTGGAAGAGGGTGGGGGTGAGGGGTAGGTTCCCCAAAGTGGCAGTATGTGGCAGTGAAGTACACTGGACCTGATCCAAAACACCAAGTCCCTCTACACTTTTCTATGGCACGGAGTGCAGGTATTGGGCTTGAGCCAAATGAATTAAGCAGCAGCTGACTGAAGAGAATGTATGTACAAGTAACTGCGGACAAAAGGCGCTACACACGTATAGCGTAGACACGCCTAGGGGAACCTAGGACCTAGGACCCTACAAAACACAGGGGGGTCTGGGTAGGGGGCCAAAGTTTAAAGACGTTGCATGTTCAGTGCATCATAGCGCGTGCGAAGATAAAGCCAGACACACACACACAGACAGGTCGGTACGCACAGGTGGTCGGGGTGTGTCAGTTCTTTTTTTAAGACGTCGATGCGTGGAAACTTGGCTTGGTGGTTACCGACTGCTTGTTTACTCCGAAGTTTTTCCGTTCGGGGGATTGTCAGATGCTTGAGGTCAGGAGAGCTGCTCATCCACACCGGTGCCATTGATGGTATGTGGCGTTTGTGTAAGGAGTCGGTCCCCACCACCAGAATAAAGACGATCTTCTGACGAAGCTGGGTCAGAAGTTGTCCCACAGACTGTGATGATGATGCTGGAGGATGAAAAAGCGCGCCTTTTTTTGGCACGAAACCACAGTTTCGTAGCACTTCGATGTCAAAATCGCAACGATTTTTGAGTTGTTTTCATGTACTACATGCTGCAACAAACCTTTCACATCAATGCAAAGCACACTCACACAACGGACATTCGTCATCATTGACAACGTGAAGATTTGACAAATGTCTTCAACCGCACGCGCGGAAACGAGCCCGGCGGGTTTGTTTGTGTCCAACTTCCCCACACCGTGCCACACCTGGTACAACTACGACTTAATGGCACTCACTGTTGGAATGGCAAAATATGGTAAGTTTAATGCCGTTAACAATGTGCTGAGGGTAACAACTGGGCCTGCTTTGCAGCCAACCTTGCGAACCTGACCAATGGGGGGCCACCCATTTCACTAGCAGGCCATAGATAATATCAGGTTTTGTCCGGCCCCTTTATGGGTGTAAAAAATTGAGGCAGATAAACAATACACACATGCTATAGACATATATACAGAAAGAGAGAGAGAGAGAGAGAAAGAGTTCTACAATGTCTAAATGCCCCACCAAGCCTCAACGACAAACCGCTTTCCAGTGTCATGTGCTGTAGATTCTCTAGTGTTTCATTATGATTCTTACCATATTGAGAAACAGTTGCATGACCCATAATATTTGCACGTGTCGCTTTCGTTTAAGGACGTCTCAAAATGCTTTCTGGGTCACTGGTCATCACTGGTCATAAACAAACTCATTTTGTATGGCATGCAGTACGTAGCATACAGTATGAATGCCTGTGCCAATGAGGGGACAAAACCTCCCTGTGAGTGATGAACCAGCCTTGGACCACGGACCAGGGGGGCTAGCTACTGGTGGCAAAGCCTTGTAGACCACCCATGGAACATCGAGCCACACGTTGACGCCGCATGTTTGTGAAACATCGCCCTCCGATGACGCGGCTCATCGACATGTCAGGTATGGAGCACGTCCTGGAAGAAGTGAATCAGGAACTTGGTCACCTTCGCACCTTGGTGGATTCAGGGGTTTGACGGTTTGACGATCAAGGTCGTTCAAAAGGGAGACCGAACGCACATGGTAAAGAACTCCAAGCTGCCTCAGTGCACTGACTGCACCTCCAGGAGTCGCAAGATGTAAGTTGGATCCACAAAAGCTGCCAGTGTAGACCAAACACCAAGCTTCACCAAGCACTGTGTGGCATCTAAATTTACAAAAGAATCCCAGTGTTTGTTTTCTGTTTCAGTCACCCTGGCTGAGGCACCTTGCCTTTCACCCTGGCTGAGGCAGCGAGCAGCGCGTGCATCTTGAGATGAGCCAGATCCGCGCTTCTCCCCGTGCATCACCGACCTTCCAGGCCGGTGAGGGTTCGCTTCGCGACGGCGAGCCGAGGACCCGTTTTCTCCGCCTTCGGTTGGAACCCGAAAGCCTTCGGTCTGAAAAAGAGAGACCGATTTATTTGGGAACAGATCAATCTTAGGCTGTGCTAGCTTTGGTCCGTTTGATCCTGATAAGTGCTGATTCGTCTATTGGAACCAGTGCTTGGCATCGGGTCCGGTGGGATTGCATCCCACATCCACCAGCTGGGATACCCGAGATAGAGATAAAACCGCTCCAACATGCTCCAACGATTTGCACCAAACACACTTTGGTCCTGACAACCTCCCTCCTCCCCAAGAAACTTTTTTCTGATGGTTTTCTATGGTTTTCTCCCTTCTTTATGTGTTTTTTTGTTCCTGGATTGTTTCTCCATTTTTCCTGAGTTGGATCCTTTTTGGTCATTGCAGGGTGTTGGTGGGAAGGTGTGTTGTGTGTTTGTTCACCCAAAGGGTTGTGGACAACCAATTTTGGTATGCAGGGCTTTTCCCAACACTGGGAGAAACGAACATATGTCGGAAAGAGCGGCCTGAGACACAGCGTGTGTCGTTTCTCCGAAGAAGAGCCTATCTCCAGGAAGAGCCTCTCACGTTCCAGACGGCGAGAGCACGCTTCGAAGCCCCATCGGCCGAAAGGTGCCTTGGCGGTTTTTGGGGTCAGGGATCGGCAGAGCAAAAACCAATATGAGCCCTCAACATGAGGTCCTGCAGGGGATGGATGTGCAAAAATACGATTCAGAAAGACGTGGCTCTTGTGGCTGCTCCCACATTTCAGGGGGGGGTCAAAACAGCCATGGAGGGAAATCATATCATGTGTTCAGCAAGAAGAATTGATGGTGGACATGTGCCTCCCCCCATAGGAAACGGCTAGTTGATGTGACCAAGAAACACCCTCGCATCGATCGATTCTCAAGGGAAACAACTTGATACGGTTTATCGGTTGTAGGGGGAACAAACCTCAACAAATCCCAACAGGAATGAAACGAACTCTGGGATTCTTTGAACTGCCCCAAGGTCAGAGCAGCGTTTGCAGAAATTTCCAGATGAGCTCAAAAGTCCCACCAGCGAAGGAAAGGCCTTGGAGGACCGTGACCAGAAGGCACAGCTCTCTGATTTTGGTCCTTCAGTCAGTTCCCTTATCCCTTCAAGGGCAAAAATGAAGCACAGGCACAATCGATTAGTGAGAAAGAATGAAAAAGAAACAACACATATAATAACGGAACAAATGAGATAATTAGCTAAGAAAAGGTGGATCAATGATGCAGTCATACATAGTCATACGGTCCTTTCTTTTCAATGTCCGGCCAGGTGAGCACAGCTGCTTTTGAAGCCAAGACGATGAAGCTTGAAGCTTCTGTCGCCCGATTGAGGGACAGTCTGGAAAGTGCAACTGCCGCAGCTCTCTGCAATTCAGCATCAGCACAATTGAACCTACACTTGCCAGGATGTATCATGATGTCTCTTCTTTATTGCTCTCAACAAGATCTTCAGCTTGTGGCTTGCAGAAATTGGTCTCGGAAAAACCAGGCACAGAGAGAGGAGCAAGAGAAGGTCTCCCACCAAGAGCTTGCAACGCGGCACTTCGAAACTGCCCTTCAACGACAAATTCAAAGGACCGGGGCGATGAATGAAGGACCTCGACCGGCCCGCAGAACCGTCGAATGCAACCAGGAGCGAGGAGCTGTGTCTGGAAAATGCGTAGCAGCCTTAGTGGGGTGATAGAACGATGCTGGGTGATGCCGGGTACGTCTACCCATCATCTCAATCATGAAGTTCCGTGTGGAGTCATATGTTGTGGGTTTTTGTTTGCTCGATTTTCTGCACAGACAAAATTGGGGAAGGTTTCAGCACACAGCTTGTGAATGCTTGTGAGATGCTATTTTGCAGGTGGTGTCAACTGAACTTCATAGAATCCGTTGGCAGCATGGAAGCTTTCCCAATGTCCCAACCACTGCACACCATAAATTAAGTAACAGTTGCTCCATCCGGTGAGCAGTTGTGCTTTCGCGTTGCAGTGTTTCCTTTACACGTGTTCCAAACTCTTTACTGAGGAACTTGCGTGCCGAGACCCAAGAGCTTGAAATGAGATGTCGAGGTGCACGGAAACAGCCGCAGTGGCGGAGTGGTCAGTGGGGGGGGAGCTGTGGAGCCCTGTGCGCTTTAGCTGTGGAGCCCCTTTTTAATTCTTGTTTCTAATAGCTTCTTGTTACTACTAGTAAGGCACTTGTTACTACTAGCGATGCACTTGTTACTACTAGCTTATTTGTTTCTAGCTAGCTGTTCCCCTGCTTTCTGAGCTTGAAACCATCAAAGACCCACCATTGCCATGGGGAGCGACGCGTTCGTCTCGCCGACAGGACACGATGAAAAGTCGGCGCAAACGTTGCATGGTGCGCTGAGCATTGAAAAGCAGCTCCTTGCTGTGCGTGCCAAGCACGGACACCTGCAGGACAAAAACATGGTGATGTCACATGTTTGACTCGGGGTTTTGGCAAGGCGTTTTTGACCCAGGTCGGCGCGAGGCGTGACACTTGACCATTTGCAGGTGTTGCACGTCATTTTGCTTCGACTGGAGAATTAATACTGACAGGGGATTTGGCTTTCTAATTTGTATGTGTTTCTTGGTATCAGGCATCCAGTTCTCAACCATTTTGTAACACTCCTAAGGCTTCACGGCTATCTGCTTCACACAGAGTTCATCAACTGAAGTGCTTCATTCATACACTGCCAGCACACCTTTTGCCAGTATATAGACAGCGTAGCTGAGTGTTTTTTGATGTTTCTTGTCCTCCTGCTCGTCATGTCTTCTCAAGGCTGTTTAGGCGAAACTCAGGTTGATAGAGATGCAGTCATCTCTATAACTGACTGCCACGCATCCTCTCTCCAAGTAGGGGAAGCAAGCAGCTTTGGTGCAGGACGCATATCAAGAGCAGCGCAGCTTGAGAGCAAGGGAAGCAGAAGAAGGGCAGCGACGGCGCAACTTGGCACTTGGAGGTGACTTGAGGCTCAGTGTAGCAAGACACTGGTTATAACGGTTATAAAGTTATATATATATATCCAGAAACCACCTAATTATTGGGGTCCCCAAAGTCCTGCTGGACAGTGTTGATTGTACCCTGGTTGACCACCGAACATGAACAGAATAGGCTACCAGGAATGAAGTCCACCTACCAGGGTGACAACGGGCGCTGGGTGCGCCGTGACCCACGGCCATGTGATACAACTCATCAATGCAACTGCCTTCAAAAGAAGTCCGGATAAGTCGTGCGTCCAGGTCACGTGAGCGAAAGTGTCGTCGATGCGCTGAAGGAGGCAGGTTCGTTCGACGTAATTAGCGGGTCGACTGTTGGGGCAAAGAAGCTTCACGGAGTGACTAGTGAAGTTGAGCAAGCAAGTATGTGGTTCGGGGCTCTTTCTGAGGGAACAGATGAGTTGGGGTAAGGGTAAGTGTCCAAACCTGAAACTACGAATCACATAGATAGATAGATAGATAGACAGATAGATAGATAGATGGTTGCCAGAGCATCGTGCTCTGAACTGCCATTGTTCAGGAACTATTTCAACTGCGAGAAGAGGCTGCTGCTGAACGAGCTGTCCGGGTCTGCTCCTTATGACTAAGTCACGATTGTGGCAATTTGATTGATTGGAAGTTGGAAAGTTCAGGAAGAAGCTGACCACATTCAAGAAGAGGTGGAGTTGGCATCTGAGCATCGGAGGTGAGTTTTCTTTGCACGATGACATGGCGTTCAAACATGCATCCCAAGGATCGGCAGGCTGAACATTCCTTTCGATTGACTTTTGGGTGGGCTTTGGGCTTTGGGGGGGAACCCGATAAAACTGAGCAGGTGCGAGCCAAACAGATTTTGGCCAAAAGACAAGCTGCAGATGTACTTGCCACCTTGCCTTACAACGCCGAGGGAAAAGCTCAAGCGATTGCACTCTGAAGAGCTCCAAGGCTCTCGACTTAGCCATCGTCAAGTCAAGACTGTGGGGTCTGAGCACTGAAATTCGATCCAAGGCTTCCACTCTGAGCAGAAGGTCGTGCACCCAGCCAGAGATTTTCAACAGGGAACACTGGGAAGACGCCACACGTGTGGTGTCGTTGGCCGTCCCAGACCAGGCTTTGCGTGCTGCCTTGCAGTTGCAACGCCGGAACTCCACTCAAGCATTGGAAGCACAACGCTGGGCACTGCGCCGGGACCGGCCGGATGGGTCGGGACGGACGGGGCATCGTCGGGTGGTGCAGGTGAGAATGAAGGGCCGCAGGTCTGCGGTGGGACTGTCCAAGTGATTTGAGGGTAGGTCCCACAGCTTTGAATGGCAAAGCAATTTTTTGTTCTAAGATGTCCGCCTGTCGACCCACCTGTTCCACGTTCCCCACCTGTTCCAGAGGAAATCGCATGGATCACATGGACTGATGAGTTCCACTCGATGCTTTTCTGAGGGGAAACCTCCTCCCACGGGCGCGTCAACTCTTTGATGCAAGGAGAAGCAGCTTCGCAAGCAGCGCTATGAGTCTGGTCAGCAATAGCTTGCGACTGACACACGTTGGTGAAGCCGCTTCGTTGGTGAATTCGCGGATCAGACACGAGTTCCGAGGTCCAATCGAAGTGCTTGGTGTTACGATTAAATTTGCGTCATTGATTCATTTGATTGTCATGAAGTTTAAGATTTTCTCCAAGTCTCTCACAGTGATTTGGTCCATGACCTCCCTCCTATCTTCGCACGATGAGCTTCAGATAGCTTCAGCTTATTCTGGGAACAAGGCTGGAAGACCCTTTTCCATCATTTTCCAAACAGAGGGCTTTAACTCCATGTGATCCATGTGATTTGAGCAAACCCCCATTAAATCCCCCCGAGACTCCGACGCGTTGTTTCCATGGTCACCCATGCTTCGCGGCCTCGGACGCACCGACGCTCGCTTGAGGCGCTGCTCTCCGCCGCGTCCGAGGAGATGCGAGGGCAACTCATGCGCCTCAAGGCCGGACGCGAGCGAAGCCGAGCCGTTCGTTTCGAGCCGTTCCCGACGTCGGACCTCGGAAGATTCGTTTCTTAAAGTGCTAAGCAACTGGAAGACCAGCTGGAGTTGGAAACATGTCCGAACGTGATTCGGCACGTGTCCGGAATTCTGGTATCGACCACGTGCTATATGGTCCATCAGATCATGATTGCTCGCCCCAAACAGCCAGCTGCCTGCGCTTTGCTTGTGCCAGGCGGCCACCGAGGAAGCTGCTGAGGCTGATGTCGCGGTGGAGGATCAAGACGACTTGGCCTGGCTGCCAAGTCCGCCCAGAGCTCTGGGACTCTCTCATCATCTCCAGATATCTCCGGTGTATGGCAATGAAAGAGACGGATGTGCATTTGCTTGATCATTTTTTCGGACAACACTGAAGGTGGATGAGAATTATTGGGGGGTCCTTCATTCATTTCCACTCTGAGACATACTGAATGGCGTGGGAAGAGGATTCCGTCCGAAGGGAGGTCAGTAACTATGAAGCTATAGTGGGACTACGTCAATCCATAGCATTTCATGAGATGTGCGTTCAAGTGAAGGACCATATCCAGCTCAGCTGTTGGATATGAAGAGTGGATGCATAGCACCAAACCGTTCTAGTAATTAGTAAGCAGGTCAGTATGATGATTCCCACATGGCCAGGTACAAGGGCCGCCCCAAGGGCTTTTCCTTAGTGGACCACCGGTCTTTGGCACACACGCTTTGCGGCTGTTCCTGCAGTATGTTCTGCACGTGCCAGTTCCTTTTTCTGCGCTGGCAGAAGTCATGCTCAATTCTAGGATCCTGTTTCATTAACCTGTGCTAGTGCAACTTCAGGAGGTTTCAAGGAGGTGTAAAACACATGTGGTATAAAATAAAAGGATTTAAACTGTGTTAACGCCTCGACCAACAAATCAGGTCTGAGTAGATGTTCGATAATGTTCAGCATAAGATCCTAAGTTCATGTCTTGGGTCTTAATCAAACCAGTGAGTCTTGCCGTATCATATATGGATCTTAGCTCCTGCAAGACGGTTCGGTGGTCAAGCCGCAGTGCTGAGGTTGCCGAAGAGCTTGAGCGGGTGAAGCTGGATCAGCAGGCAACGATCGTCGGACCAACGAGGGAAACATCACGGAGCTCCCGACCTGCCGAATGCTCTGCCCCCTCGGGATCCCCCAAAAGTGTGCTGCATGTGTGTTTTCTGGTGTGCAAGAGAGCATGACCTTTTTGCGGCAGCGACTGACTTGGAGTGGCAAGCCATAAAGGACACGGTATTTGACCGCTCACTCCGCTCATCTCCTCTTCTCTTTGCACCTTTGGGTGCTGAGCTCGTTGAGCGTAAAGATCCTCTTGGGCGAGACGTGGGACCTTGGGTGGATGTTGATCTCAGACTTTGTCGCTGATGATTGTCCCATAATGTCCCATAGTTCCTCCGGTCAATCAGCTTCCTTTCAAGTTTTGGTCGTTAAGCATTGGCATGAAGCTACGGCTACCAACATGGGACCTTCAAAGGCTTACCAACCTTTACCAAGCGATGCGCCCCAAAAGCCAGGCACTCTCAGAGTCAAGAGCTTTGGAGAACAAGACACTCACAGAGCTGGAAGAAGTGCGACAGCAACTCAAGGTGCGGGGAAGGCCACCAAGCCACTGTGCTTCCAAAAGGGAATCCCATTGGGCTTCCCATGGGGATTCCTGTCGTGTGGCCTGGACTCCTGTCACGCTTATGTAGCCTTGTCCTTAAGTGCCTAAGCTCGAATGACCAATGTGCTCGGCCCACCAACCCGCTTGGGGACATGCATGGACATGCTTTTTGCGCAGGTTGATGCGGGTTGTTGCTTTTAACATAACGATTGATGACTGCTGCTGTTCTTGTTCATGAGCGTCAGTGCATCCAGAGATGACGATGCCCCTCGGACCCCCGAGCGGAGCTTCCGAGCTGAGCTTCGTATGCCGGTTTCGCGCGTCCCAGGACGAGCGGCGGACACCCACTCCGATGCTCGGTTTCGTGGGATCCAGAATGCTGGGATTCGAAGACCCTCCCCCAACGATCATGGAAGTGGAAAACGGATGAAAACATTGAACACACATGAAAACGGACTGTCAGTAAAGGAACACAGTCTTCCAAGGGGTTGTTGGATATAGAGGGTATACATGTGTTGTGCGCGTGAGTGTCACAACACAGAAAAGGGATGAAAGGGTAAAAGAAACAGTTCTCGAGCAATCCGCAGATGACAAGATGATGTAGGACACCACTTGCATCATCATACTGGAGGCCGTCTCACCGCCTACAGGTAACACACTGCAAATCAGCATGTCACACGATATATTGTACATATAAGTACACATATATACAATCAATTATTGTCAAAGGAAATGCAATAATTTCGTATAGAACCAAAACATTCTTCAAACACTAAAACGCCTTGTAAACAGGAACCTGATGTGACCCTGATGTGACCCCGTCGCATCGGGCCCCCCCTTGCAGATTAACAGTTTCCCAGTGACCTGATGTGACTAATATTGGTGACAGTATATATATATATATATACATATCAGAAACAGTACAACATTTCACCACAAACCACATCTTGCATTGCTCTTCACAACCCCGGACCTCAAACATTGGTTGTTCGAGGTTGTACTCCTCTTCGTTGAGCACTGAAAACGAAAAATATTGTTGTTTATTCCCTCTCAACTGGAGCCATTCGTGAAAGCAAGAGCCTGCCCCCTTCTTGAGGAGCCCACCCAACCTGTTTGAAGGTATTTGCCCGTTTCCCTCCTCTGACAAGGAATGCTGAACGGATCACAGAGCTAGTGGAGGTTGAGCAGAAATTGAACGATGAGATGGAACAGATCGAGGCCACCAGAGTCGTTCGGACGGCGGAGCTAAAGTGAAGAGTCTAAAAAATGACAATTAGTTCAAAGTCATGATACTCATGATAGTCGTGATATATATATATAATATATATATAATTGTATAAGCTTATATTGTTTTTATTTAGCAAGAGTCTACATATACCGCATAGACTCACTAGTGGAACCAGGGTGCTTCCAATGTGGCGTCAGCCCGGAAGCAGGGTGAGATTCACCCTCAACTCAACGTGAGGCAGCAGTTGCAGAGCACAAGAGGAAGTACCAGGAAGACCACAAGAAGTTGGAAGAGGCGCAGAGATTGCTGAGAGACCCATGCCCCAAAAGGGTGGGAAGAGCGAAAACGAGGTGCAACATGGCGCAACATCTTTCTCCATGCATGCGACTCGCATTATGTTTTTTTGCAGATGTTGTGTCCGTTCCATGCGTACGTAGCAAAGAATGATAGGCAATGACATGTCCAATTTGATGGGCTAAGGAAGAACTTAGCCATGGTGTTGGGCGTTGCAAGATCTTAGAAACATGTCAGGGGGAATCACAGTCACATCATTTCTCGGATTGTCCTATTCCAGGAATCTAATGTCAAGAGAAGCAGCATCTATGAGATGGTGACCTGCCATAGATGTTATTTCAGGACTGGTTTCACGATCTTATGTTTACCATACCAGTCGTTGATGTATGTTTATGGTGACCCACTGGAGATTCATGTCTCGTTCGATCCGAACTCGACCTTGCAGGGCCTGTTGGAGAGCGAACTCAAAAGGTATGACTCCCCAAGCTATTCAAAAGGTTGGCGTTTTCCACTCGAAAAACGCTTCTTCTCGAATTTGGGAACCTGAGGATTTGAGACCGGTTTGGATCAACTAATCAGTATGTGTTTCCGGATTCTCCCGAACACTTGGGAGCTTCACAGATCTTCCATGTTTGCTGAAACTCCGTTTGGGTCTCCTGTCAAAGGGTTTATGATTTCCAGTCACTGGCAACCTGCGTGCTTTGGCCATACGTCTATGGACAACTGACGGGTGCTCACAGGAGATTTCTTGTAAAAGAAGAGCATCTGCAAATGGATCCAGCCGGTTTCAACGGTAGGGGCGGCTACGAGGCGCACTGCGTAGTGCAGCCTCGTAGCTCCAGGCTCACGCGGAGGAGCGGGCCTCTCGGGAACGAGCTGAGCAATACCATCAGCAAGTGGCAGTGGGGGGAGCCTAGTGAGTCACCTGTGCCGGTTTTGGTCGATGTTCTCTTCCGTTTCCCAGGGATCAAACTGGGCTGTTCAAGACACACCCAAGTCAGTCTCAGACCAACTCTGGGCCTAGAGTTTGGATGTAGAGTCGAGCGGCCTTTTGTAGAGGGATGAATCGTTTTTTTTTCACTTCGACTGCATGTGCGTCCTCACCAGTTCGACGGATTTGGTCCTCCAACGACAGCCATGGCAGCAGTGATCCTGGAGTAGAGGACAAATATTGTATAGCGACTATTTGTACAACAATAAATACATGTTAAACCGCCCCTGCTATTTTGGTGCATGTCATTGATATTTGCAGTGTTTGATGCATGTTTTTTATGGTCGTATGTTGCCTGTACTCTTTTGGAAGATGGGGGTACCATATGTCGTATTTGCATTCAAAGAAAGAAGAGGATAAGGAGGGGCGCCATGTAAGTTCAGTGTTGTAAGTTCAGCATTTGTTGCGGGACATGATTGCGCAACAATTCCCAGGATCAAATCTCTCCAAATCCAAGAATCCAAAGATTTCCAGACTGCCTTCGATATTTTTTGACAAAAGTCAAAAAAAACAGTCTCAAAAAGCAATTACTATGGAAATCTGTTGATTTGTTGATTTTGGGAGATTGATCCTGGGAATCATGTTGTGCAACAATTTGTCCTTGCTTGGAGTTCTCCAAGTACCGGAAGCAAGAGATTCTCTAGAAGATTCCTTTGCAACCATCTAAAATATTATATATACAAAGTTCCTGGAATTCTCTAAGCTTATTGAAATTTATTGTCTAATCTTCCACCCAATAATCAAATGGTTTAAGCCAACCCGCCGACACAAGCTTTATCAAATGTTCACAATTTCTGTCAATTGCAATCGCTACCACGGGGCTCCTTGGTTATACGGGTCACATACTTGATCCTTACGAAAATATTGTCCTTGCACAAACATGTTTTCTCTTGAAACATTGCATTCTTGAGGGCATCACCTTGTAATCATGATAGTCTCCTTTATCCTTTATGCATTGAAAGAGCCTTTCCTCTGAAAGTTGTTTCCGCCCTGCAAATTTGAAACGATCATTGATGGAAACACCTCCGTAATTGTCGGAAACCTGTGTGGAACAGTGCTCAACCCTATTGATTAGTTGAATCAATGTATATATTCATAAGATTGAGACGTGTTTGTGCCAAAGGGATTGGATCCTGTAAGCCAGAAAAGAAAGGGATGTTTTGACAAGGAGTGATCATGCAAAAGTTTGTTCTTTTAATGACAAGTTGTTTGTCAAGAAGAAACGTATTACCTGCCCAAGGTGGACAATGCAGGATCAAACCCTTTTAACATGGACACGCCTGCATTGCATGTCAAACGGCTAGAAAGACTTTGTATATATATATATATGTAATATTAGTGTGTATATATATAAATTCAATAATTTGAACAACCAATCAGCGTAGGTGTTTGGCAATGATTCAGGTGTATTCCAGCAAGATTGTTTCAACTGTTGGAAAGGATTTGCTCAGACAGAGTGAGGTCTCTGAAGAAAAGTACCATTCACAAAGGATGAGATGTTCAAAAAGAAAATATTCCTAGTGCAAGGGAGAGGCTCTTGTAAAGATCAGAGGTGGATACAGGCCGGGCCCTTGTAATACAGAAAAATGCATGAGGAATGAGGCCATGTTTGAAAGAAAATCCAATTCAAATAAAGAGACTTGGGAAGAGAATCGACGTGTTTTATGTTGACTGCAACTAATTTTTTGTTTGACCGGATGCCCTATCATGTCAACTATCATGTCAAGAACAGACTCGGGGATTCCTTGGATAACATGTTGTTTCTTATGAAGGAATCCTCTTGGGGAAACACGGGACTCTTCCCACATTTGGGTACAAGCATATGTACTTCAGTCTACCCTACCCTGTCCAAAGATTGACTATTCTTTGACAGGTATCTCAACCAGGCCCCCAAATTGAAGTTGTCCTCAGAACTGAACATGAGGGCATTGTTCTACAGAAGAGGATGTACTGTACTGTGGTGTTTATTCATCATTAGCTTTGCAAACGTGTTTCTTGGAGCTGTTTCCAAAAGGGTGTTTCCAAGAGGTACGGAGTATGTCTTCAAATGCAAATGCCTTATACTTTTGTGTGATGTAGTTGCGTTGTAAGAGTTCAGCACATGCAATTATCAACTCCCTGTGTTTTTTTTTCTAGAGGCGGTAGGGGTTTCAAAGTCTGATAGATTGAGTTCAAAACCAGTGGGCATTTCTGTGGAGGTTGTTTCTGCTGCACAGACATACATTAAAAACAGGAGGAGGATGGAGTGTTGCATATGCAATATATATATATTGCATATTTTGTATAGAGTTGACTATGGTCCTGAAATTGTCCATCTTTGTCAACACTGCCGGCATTCTTCTCTTGAGTAAGTTTGGCCTGCGGATTGAACACCGAACGTGCTGTCGTAGCAGTTTATCATCAGCTCTCTTGTACTGTTCAATCCACGCATGGGGTTGGCCCGGGTTGGCGCAGCAATGACTTGACTTGCTTCATGTTTTGTTTAGTTGGGTTACTTGGCAACAACCGAGCGAGTAGTAATGCAGCTTTACCAAACCACAAAGATAAGTTATTCTACCGTTCAATGTCGTTACATTTGGCATCAAAGTTGAAATCTTTATACATGTATCATGTATACATGTTAACTGTATATCACAGCACTTCAAAAACTATGATGTTGAACCCCGCAGCATGTGTCTGGTTGTTTTCTGCCTTTTTGCAGAGTTGCCTTTCTTCACGTTTTCGACCGCAAGTCCCGTTCGTGTTCGTGTTTCCGGTGTCGACATGGTGGGTCAAACCATGAACCCTGGTTAACCCACGCTTCATGAACCGAACATATGGACATATCGCATTGAAACCATCCTTCAGAGCCCCCTCCCCCCGGCGCGCGGCGCTTCCTTCTTCGGGCCTGCTGCGGCCGAAGCCACCGAACACCGAACTCGCACGGAGCAAGGCCGAGACCCAACTCTTGGCCGTGGATTTGTTGAAACTCCAGGTCCGAGACCCAACGAATGGGTCGCCCGGACAAACGGGAACGTCCCGGGTCGTTGGAACGGGTCGGCGCCAGGACGGTATGTACGTGACTCGGTGACCAGGCGTTACAACGGAAAATGGAACGTCTACTCTTGTTTTCTGGGATCAAGAGGACCACAGGATAAGAAGTCAAGCAACCAGACCCCAGAAGGACGCCCACAGATTCTCCTTAAATTGATACAAAACACATTGCAACATTGTGGAACATGTGCAACACATGCATAATGGAATGGAGTACATCTCTGGGTCACAGAGCTGCCCTCTAAAAGACCTCGTGCCGTGCCTTGCCGCCCGAGGGCGGCGTGGGCACGGCGTGGGACCGTGGGACGAAGCTTGGCACGGCCAGGGCGCCTTTGAAGCGGATGGCGAGAGTGAGTCCAACTTCTCACAAAGTTCCAAGATGAAAGAAGGTGGGCGCAAGATGGCACAATCTGTTGAGTTTAGTCACTGCACATAACAATAACATACATCTTCCTATCACCTGTCCTTCTGGGGGTCGACATGGATCGACAAAAACCTCCGATTGAAAGGCAAAATTCATCCCCAGGGTTCCCCCACCACTGCATCCCTCTCAGCCACCAGCGGATGTGAGGAGACCGGAGGGTACCGGAGAGTACGATGGAATACGATGGACACAGACTGGAAAGATTCTTCTATCAGCCAGGGATGGGGGATTCTGTTGTTTTTTCTCGAAAAAGAGGATCCCCCGGCCCAACTTCCCATAGCTGTTGAAACATCCGTGACCTTGACATCTTGAGCGATTCTTGAATTCTTTGCTTTAACGCAGTCAGTGGTCATTTTTCCGAAGACTCTTACCAAAGGAGTCCTGTGATGTTTCGCGTAAATACCGGATAATACAGTATACAGTATACATGTATACCGGCCTGTACATCATGTCATCATCCCGTCGCATCCTCCAGGCCGTGCACTGGTTGAAGCATCCAGCGAGGAGGAGGGAGAGGAGGAGGCAGAGGAGGAGCCAAACGGACGGAGCAAACCGGAATGACTTGGTCCGAGCAAACTTCCAAATCCAGACCAGGGTCCATGATTGGTGAAACAGCTGGTGATATTTAGTGTTTTTCCCCAAACAGTGTGGACACACTAAGGGGTTCTTACGGTAGCGGAAAAGCAGCTGTGCTTAGATCGCTGTGCCGCGCGGGCGTGTCCGGCTAATTCGCTGCTATTTACAGGACATTCATGCCTCTCCAACTCCTCCAAGTGCATTTCGACTGCGCAGGCTCACAAAATCTGCCTGCCCGCGGCGGGTGCTTCTAGCGACTGCGCTCTCGTTGCGGCGCCGTGCGCATATTCGCACCTGGTGGTCACCTTTCATGGCAGGCGCAAGGGATCGGAGCTGTTTGCTTCGAAGTGCAGATTTCGTGGCAGGCGCAGCACTTTGGACATGGTTCCGAGGTGCTCTGATTTCGTGACAGGTGCAGTGAATCGTGACTTTTCGACGTGTGGCTCTTTTGCAGATTTCGTGGCAGGCGCAGTACTTTGTGAACCTCGAAGTGCAGATTTCGTGGCAGGCGCAACACTTTGTGAACCTTGAAGTGCAGATTTCGTGGCAGGCACAGCGCTTTGTGAACCTCGATGTGCAGATTTCGTTGCAGGCACAGCACTTTGTGAACCTCGATGTGCAGACTTCGTGGCAGGAACAGCACTTTGTGAACCTCGAAGTGCAGATTTCGTGGCAGGTACAGCACTTTGTGACCTCGAAGTGCAGACTTCGTGGCAGGTACAGCACTTTGTGCTCTCAGATGCTCACCTCTCGCTCTCACTCACACTCACACTCACACACGCTCACACGCACACTCTTACTCACTTGCTCTCACTCTCACTCTCACGCACACGAGAGTGGGTGTGACTCTCGTCTCACTCTCTCACTCTGTCACTCACACGCACACTCACACTCACACACTCACACTCACTCACACTCTCACTCTCACTCACACTTACACTCACGCTCACTCTCACTATCTCACATTCACACTCACACTCACTCTCTCACTCTCTCGCGCTCACACTCACACTCACTCTCACTCTCACTCACTCTCACTCACATTCACACTCACACTCACTCTCACTCTCACACTCACAGACACTCACACTCACTCGCACTCACCCTCACTCACTCTCACTCTCACACTCACTCTCGCTCACACTCACTCACTCGCACTCTCACTCACACTCTCACTCACTCCCACTCCCCACTCTCATTCACTCTCGCTCGCTCACTCACCCACCCACCCACGCATGCACGCACGCACTCACTCGCTCACGCGCTCACACACTCACCCACTCATCCTCACTCTCACTCACACTCGACACTCACACTGACACTTACACTCACCACCACCGCCACCATCACCGCGATCTCCACCTTCATCACCACCATCACCTCTTTGCACCCCAATGCGTCTAGATCTCTAGACTTTCTGCTGATAGACCTCACACACACTGTTTGGGGTCTCTTGCCAGGATAATCTTTTTGGTGTTTTGGACAAGCTTCAGCGTTCGTGAAAGACGGAGCAATCGTTTTGGTTCAAACATCTGACCGACAGGAAACCTTCGATTCTTGGGAGGCACATTAAGGCCGGTGCTGCAAGGAAGCACGGAACGCACAGAATGTCACCGAGTTCCAAGCAACGGTGTTGGAATGGAACTGATATGACTTCCTTTTTTGAATTGGAATAAAATTGATGAAAAACGGTTGCAAAACCATGCAAAACCTCAGGAGGGATTCTTGGGACATGGCCTGTGGAACTGACACCCTCCAGAAGCATGTGAGTTTTTAGATACCAATTCTGATGTTTTTCAATGTCCCTGACTCCACCGTGGGTTTTCTCAAGTTCGATCTGGGGCCCTCTCCCCATGTGGAGGAAGTAAGAAAAAAAAAGAAAAGCAAAGACATGAGACGTTTGGGAGCTCTTCAGATCATCCCCTTCATAGAGATGCACCGTTCACCAAGTGTTTTGCTCCAGAACTGTCACCGGCCATTGGGCCGCGCCCAATGTCGCGAAATATTTTGTTCAAGAGACATGCCGCAAACCCTACAACAACGTGTAGATTGGCGAATGCTGCTTGGCCATGGGGCATTGCACAGCGATGGGACTTGATGAAGAAATTGTTAAGTACAGTATGACTGTTTCATTGAGTATGGACGCGGAAGAGGACTGAAAGTGGTTGGAAGCTGAAGAGAGGGAAAACCTGACACGCTAGCCAACTGCGGTTTGTTTTGTTTTTTTCAAGGGTTTCACTTCGGCATCCCGACAGCATGTCGCACCCACATCCCCACATCCAACCCTTGCAAGATTTCTTCCTTGCTCCCCAGGTCATGGCCGAGCAGATCAGCGCCTTTCTTCGCAGCGCTCTGCTGGAGGAGATGCACTTGCTGATGACCCAGCTCCGTGGGGAGATCACCGCGGAGCTGCGAGCCATGCACCGGCAGGAGCTCACGAACCTGAGCTTGCAGACGCTCGGCAGAGAGGGCGCGCCCCCCCCACGCGGAAGGGCTAGGGCGGCTAGGGCTTTGCAGTGGAATGGCAGCAAAGGTTCTTGTTTATAGAACTTTGATGACATGGATCACAAAGATTTCAGAGTAGTGTTTGTTTTTGATTGTTTTTGTTGTTTTTTCGAGCCCAAAAGAACGGCTAACGTTGGGTGCCATGTGGCCAGGCTGAAGCAAGTGATCCAGGAAGCGCACAGCTCTGTGAGCTCTGTGTGACTCGGCAGAACCGGGCAACGGGCACTGCTCAGCTAGGAGGACCTCTTTGCCTTGCGTGGGCGATGTAGATGCCCAGTGTTCCTGACATGTTCCCATGAACATGTTGTAAATGTTAACATGACGTAACATGATGCAGTCTGTCTTATATAGCTAACTTATAGCAAAATCCACTAACTCGACTCTTCTTTCTTATGCTCACCGGGTACGATCACACGCATTCCATCGCGTGTCCACGAAAAACGAACTCCATCAGTCTCGTCCGTCGAAGCCAAGGCGTGCAAAGCCGCGACGGTCAGTACAGAGCTCGCTGGCGAGAGAGTTCGAGACGGACTCCACGGCCAGTACAGAGCTCAGCTTTTCCACGGTCGACTGTGGGACGTAACGGCGTAACGCCCGGGCGGGTGTTCATCGCCCCTGTTGGTGTCATGTTGCTGTATGGAGGCAATGATTCAAAAGCCTTGATGCCCTCATCTAGTCACTTGGTGAGCAAGATGGAGTGGCAAGGAAGAGCGGATGTGGAAGAAAAAAGGCATGGCTTTAAGGGAAGGGCCGCACTAAGAGTGAAATGTCCTTTCCTCCGAAATCTAAAAATGACAGTTGCCAATGCAACGCGATGCGACTGGGTCCGAAAACAAGTGTTGCGGAAGGAATTGTGGTGTTGCGGAAGGAATTGTGCGGTGCTGGGAGTGCTAAAGAAGACTGAGGCTTTGATTCCGTCGAAAGGAGTCCGGACAAGGCCTGGATTTGGTTGATGCTTGACATGTGTGATTTCTATCTACATTATACAGCAATTAGCTGAAAACCAATGTGTGTGTGTGTTTGTCCATGTTTGTCCAACCCTGTTTCTGAGGGTTTTCACACAAGAAGCTTTAGGTCACTGCTGTTTAAGGGATACTCATAATGTTTGCATATTTTTGATACAACAGGGAGACAGAGCTCTTTGATGCTACTCTCTCCATCGCAGGTTAAGCAATACTGTTCTCGGACTCTTCACCATACAGTTTATCAACAAAGGTCTAACTGCAGCAACTGGAGAGTGTTAATGCAGAACTGATGAACGTCGATTCGTGCTCCTGCGAGCTTTCTTCTAAGTGTTTACTCGCAGCATCGGAGTGAACAGTCCACAGCTGCATGTTCTGTGTGAACCCAGCTGTGGGCGCAGAATTCGCACTCCAACTCACCGGAGTGAGCTTCAACTCATTTACCGTGCTGCTTGATGCTTTCTGAATTATTGGTTCAACCTTGAGAGTGCTGAATCTTAGCTGCAGAGCTACACTACACCCACTGGTTTCTAGCGTGAATTCGGCTTCATAGAAGTTCCCAACTGTCAACCACTAAAGATGTCATGTGCTCTTCCTTCTGGTTGTTTTCCTCATTGTTTATTGTCCGTGCACCATCGACATGTCATGTCTTTTTGTCCTGCGGCTTTCTTTTTTCTGCCTCTTCTTTTCTTTGCTTTTATACCGGCCTTTTAAAAGGGTATGCAGGTTGGCAGACAAGTGTTTCCCACACTACCACACTGCAGACAAGCCACATCTGTCATCAACCGTTCTTTCATCCACACGCAGGGGTCTACATCCTATTGGATAACCGCGTGCTGGTATGCCTTGGCCTTTCACTGTGCAGCTGTCAACCGCACCAACCATCCGTGCTTAGGACTATGCACGGCACTCGGCATAGACCAGCACAAAGGACACTTCCCCTCGTATCTGTCACAACGTTGCTATGTGCTTCATCTGGCACCGTCAATTCTGCACATTCACCTTCATGCAATATGTGCAATGCTCCCCAAAAAGGGCACCCCCAGAGGAAGCGCGGTACTCCACCGGTTGCTGGTGTGGATGGAACATGCTGGAACTAACATTTGGGCTGAGCAGAAGTACTGTGCAAATTGTTCCAGGCAGGAACCGACTGTCAGGTCTTTCCGAGAATACAGCTTTGCAATGGGCCACATGCTCCAGACTGCAGCTATGACGCACTTTGCTGCTCTAATTCATCTCTTCCATTGCCGATTGTCACATTCTTTTCCTTGTGAAGTTCTTTCTTTTCTCTACTCTTTCCTCTCTTGTTGCAGCCTTTTTGGTGTCACGCAGGTCGGCAGACAAGTGTTTCCACACACCACCACACATTGCCAACAAGCCACGTCCTTCTATCATTACTACTCCGGGGTCCATGTCGGTGTGCCTGGGCCTTTCACTGCGCTGGCCACCGCGCTTTCACCATCCAACCGCTGACTGCGCACCGCACTCGGCAAGCCATCCGACCAACCAGTGCCAGTGATGGATGTGGTACAGTCAACAGTGCCACAGCGGGCTTCGTACAAGATGCGCACTGCTTCCAAGAGACCAAGCAACGAAGCAGAGCCATAGTCAGCTTGTCATTGGTATGGTTGGAACTTGCAAGAACTTGAGCTCACTGACCCTGCAACAAACTTTGGCAGAACCTAGGTAGTGGAAAATGGTTCCAGGCAGGAGTTCCGATGTACGGACGCTATTCTCCAACGTACGACACACCTTACACTTGGCACCGTAGCAGAATTGCTTGAGTCAAGAGCCGCCAAGGACCTTTTTTGCAACCTCTCATTATGGGTGTTCACACGTTGTCGAGCTTTGCCATCTGCTTATGTACTGATTGAGTGGCCTGAGTCGAGCGACCTTCCTTCGAACAGGAGATATGTAAGTTTGACTGCTGTTACTCCGGTTCAGAGCGGGAACCTCAGCCACTGAATTGCATGAGGGTTTCGCCTTCAGGTAATTCGGTTTTTAATTGACTTTTCTCTTTCCATCTCTTTCCTTTCTTCTATAGGGGCTTTTTAGATCGCATCACAGGTCCACGGTATGCGCTGGCGTGCGCCGGAACACGGCTTCCTGTGCGTGTCCAACCCTGTTTCTGAGGGTGTTCACACAAGAAGCTTTAGGTCGCTCCCGTTTCAGCGATATGCGAATTTTCTTAATACAGCAGGGGGACAGAGCTCTCTGATGCTACTTTGTCCAACAAAGCTATGCATCAGAGAGGGAAGCATCCACGGCCATGGATGTGTACCTGCATCGAAGTTTTAGTTGTTCTGTCTTTCCACCCTGGTTAAACAGTACTGTTTTCAGACTCTTCACCATACCGGTTATCAACCAAGCATTATATAACTGAAAAGGGCTAATGCATAACTGATGAACATCGATTCGAGCTCTTGCGTATAGCGATACCTGGAATGGTTTATTTGTCTCTTTCTAGATAAAAGGATGCACCGCAATGTTGTATCTCTCAACGTTCTTGCTAGCAAGTTGTTGTATTTGTGACATGTTGTGACGCACCGCAAGGAGGGCGGCGCCAGAAGTGAATGCAAGGAGATTCTCCTTGAAACGGCAGCTGCTTGCTGTCCGAGCCAAAGCAACTCGATTGAAATTGTGGCCATTCCTTTCTCTGCATGCGCTGGAAAAACACCGTGTGGACAGGTATGCTCAAGTTGGTGGTTCATGATCTGAAGGCCCCGCTCAACGGACTGGCAGGATACAGCAGGACCGGGCTTTTGGTTGGGACGTCGCACGCTCTTCGCCCGTCAAGTCGCGTTGCCACGGCCTCGGCCTGACTCTCGGGGTGAAAGGCGTGCGTCGGGGGGGTTTTCGTCGTGAGGACTCTGGCAGAGACCGACCCCAAGCGGCAGAAAGAGTTTCGAATGCTCACGAACACTGCGCAGTTCGCCTTGGACAACGCAGCATGACTCAGCTTAGCTTGGGCGTTGGAGTATGGTGGAGTGATGTGTGCAGTGTGGTGTGGTAGGCAATTGCAGTTGAGGTTTTCGCAGGTTCCAAGATGTTATCCATCGCACACGACGAGTTTGAGCATCCGTGGTAATGTCATAATATAATACTCCATGCCACCTGGGCAGCGTTCAAAACCTCCCTTTGTGACATAATTAAGGCCATTAGGCGAAAGCAAACACCTGAGTTGCGTTGTAGGCGAAAATAAACATGTTTTCTATATATACATTGTTGTGCTTGTGTGCATAGGTGCTGCATTGCAGTAGCCCTTAAATCACAATATATAGATGTTTCCATCTACTGAGATTGTTGGTCATTTTGAGGGTGTCGACTCTATTTTGAAGATAGTGCTATTTGTTGATTGGGGAATGATGAGGAATGACAAGGGGTAAGGGAGCTGGAGCAAGTAGTCAGAGGGGACGGGGGTAAGGGAGCTTAGTGGTGCGCAAGGGGCGCGTAAGCAGAGCGTACCGTAAGGAGTGTCTAAATAGATCTAAATAGTGTTTGCCTGCGTGAGTCATGGTCAATTGTGGAGCTCAAAACAAATGTGTTTGCAGGACTACAAGAACTTCAAAAGAAATGATTGGTTCCCTCTCGGTATTGCCTTGAGGTGTACATGAACTTGCATCATCAGCACGTTGCTCAGAAGAATCTTCTCTAGCACGTGTTTCCCCAAAGCGACCAACAGAAGAGACGATGTTTCTCAAGGACCAAGGACCAGCTGTGACCGGAAGTTGAATAACAAAAGGACAGTTACTGCGCGGTTCAGCTCACACTGTGGCTTGGTGCACAAAGCTCTCCGCATAAGCCTTGCGAAAGCTTTCAAGGAAGCCCGCGAAAGCGCACATAAGCTCCCGATGGGAATGCGTAAGTAGTTGTAAGTAGTGCCCCAAACAAACTCTTACAACATCATCCAACGCTTAGATGTTTTGACCACTGCTCGCCTGTTTGCTTGCCAGACCAGGTCACAAATTTGACTGATCTCTGGACTTATGCGGCTGCCTCAAAGAAAAATGCAAAGCATAAGCACGGGCAGTCTGAGTCTTTCTCAGTGCAAAGCTAGAACTAAGGCCAAGCAGCAAAGCCGAGTCTTGTTGGCAGTTGATTGATTGAAGCGATGCGTGTCGATTGAAACAAAGAGTCCCAACAGTCCAAAGAGTCCCAAGTTGGCTCAAATCTGTATCGATCCAGGTGACTTGGTCGCCGATGCCGTCAGGTTAGAGGACCCGAGTCGGACCCGGGTGATGGAAAAATGTGGGCGACGATGGTAAGGAAACACCACCATGGGCCGTCACAAACCTACAGTGGCACCCCATTCGATGTCTTTAGAGGGGGGTCCATTTTGACCACCTTTTGGGGGTCGCGCCATCGAACCTCTGAAACCACTGTACACGATGGTCAAAGTGCTGAACGCTGAAGGCAGCGGGACATTCCTACATCGGACTGATTCCATAAATTAGAAGCAAACCGTGACAATATCATATGCAGCGGGACTCACTGGCCGATTGGTGCTAGCAAAGTCCGACCACCAATTTTGAGACATTCTCCATGTTGGTGTATGGTTGTCATAGATGGTGCCAAGAATCAAGCGCGGCAGGAAGTCCAAACATCAGGCGGTTCTTCCCATAAAATGTCGGACAACTCGGACAACTATATGAGACATCATGTTGCCATCCCCTCCCGTCTGATTTGACCATTTACAAAACCACGTCAGACTCTCTTGAAGAGTCTCTGGGTCGTGCATGGTCGTGCAGGATCTGAATACTCTGACGCATGAGAGACTTGAACGAGCTGTGAATCGGAAAGGTGCCTCGGTCTCGCCTCGGAACCCTCGCGTGTCTCATCTTGCCTCGGTCTCCGCCCTTTTCGGTCGCAGACGTCATTAAGCACTGCACTTCTTCCATCTTCTTCCGCATAAACAGACAAGACAAGCCGCCCCCCGTATATCGGCGGTTTGCAAGACGATCTTGTTGGACCAGGTGGGGTCTATGTTAATTGAGTGGGCCAAGCGGTTCATTCTTCAAGTCGAAAGTCTTTCTTTGAAGACCTGTTGGCCTGTGAGATGTGTTCCTTTTTCAGCCCAGGCAAGCCGTTGGTGCAGAGCGGAGTGGAAGTGGTCATGACCGTGAATTGACTGCGAATCATGTGGGAGATGTTCGGAAGTTCCCACGACATAGACGTCAGGCTAACTTGGGGGAACGGGACTCCCGGCGCTTGGGACTCCTGGCACTCAGTCTGTGGGATTCCTAGAGGTTTCCTTTGAACACGGCTTTTTGGAGGTGAAACTTGAATGACCCATCTGCTCTCTGAGCGTTTCAAGGTTCAAGATACCCAATATGCGCTGCATGGCGACTATGGCGCATTGTGCACGTTGCAATATCATCTTGCCTCGAATGCTGCAAAGTTTACACAGAAGGGTCAGGCGGGATGTGGATGTGATTGGGACAGGTCAGGCTGGCCACAGGGTCAAATGACTAACTACATCAAAGGCGGTCAGGACACCAGGCGAGAACAGATGAGAGAAAAGTCCTTTTCGCGTCTTTTCGCTATTTGTCGCTTCTTCATCCCTCTTTGCTGCATTTGCCTCTTTGTTTCATCTCTGGACACGTTTTGGTCTGTTTGACCTTTTGTTTCGCCAAACCCCATTTTCAGCACCACTGTAGACGGCGTTTCATGTGTTTTCATGAACAGCTGGCTTTATTTATTTGGTTCATTGCTTGCTGCCTTTCAGAAGTGTTCCATTTGAGATCAGGTAGATCAGGTGAGGTTTGCACTGCGCACTGGGGGTCCAGTTGCTCATTTCGGTCAGTGACACCATACCATAGTAACAAGTGCATCGCTACTAGCAAACAAGTGCATTGCTACTAATAGCCAATAGCTACTACTACAGTATTTTCTTGTTGCTAGTAACAAGTGCATCGCTACATAGCCTTAGCTTGTCTTTCCATTTTGTTGTTGAAACCATGCACTGTGTCCAACTCTCTTGCATGACAATCAACTTACACTCCCTGGAAGAATCATGGAAGTGGACGACATGGACCCCTTGGATGAATCTTTCCTCAACCAAACAGGTGGTTTTCCACTTCCATGATGATTTCAAGGAGTGTACATCAACAACGGCCAAGCATGGTGGGTGGTTTCCCTCTACGCGACCTCGTAGAGACCGCGGTGGCCAGGGAAGGTGGCCCTTAAAGGACTGTTCTCTCCAAAGCGGTTTTGCAGAAAAAACGATCACCTGTTTGGATTGTGTATATATATATATATATCAATGCTCATTCTCAGAATGATGCTGTTGGATCAAGGGGGATCACTCTAGGAGTTCAAGATATCACTGGATGCACAAAAACATTGTAAAAACCGGTAGAATACAGATCGACAGACCACAGATCACATCGGATCCACGGTGATGGATCGCTGCCAGGTGAAGGTGGTCTGGCAGTGCCGTGATGAGGGCTTGTGCCTCGCGGTGGAAGATACTGGCAGCGGCTGTTCCAGTGAACTCTTGGAGCAGATCTTTGAACCCTTCGTGGTGGAGGAGAGCACGGCTCTGGGCTGGCTCTGGGTTTAGGGGCCCTTGGGGCTGAAAAAAGGATAAAAAAGGCCTTTGGGATCGCACTGAGAGCTAGCATCAACTCACCAATTGCTTTGAGTAGGGGGTCAAACATCAAAGGCTCTCATTACATCACATTGGGAGGGCATTGTCATCCCTTCTGGTTCCAACTGATCCCCCAAAACGACCGATGTTGGAATCCAAACTGATCCCCTCGGTCGACACCCCAAGCAGACGAAAGCAACGAGAAAGCGCTCGCTCCCTGAAGACTGCGTTTGGTCACGACGACCACGCGCGGAGCCCGCGCCCCACGAAGAGCCCCGATGGATCAGGACTTCTCGGAGTCCCGAAAGCACGAAGGGATTGGCCTGGGGCTCGCTGCCACTTGGCGTGGAGTCTGTGACATACCCAATGAGTCTGGCACACCAGCGACACTGGGTTTGAGCCGGGTTTGGATCAACAAGAACAATTTGAGATGGCTGGAAAGGCCTGAAACTGAACCATCATCATCCACTGGGTCTTACTTACAGTGCCCCATTTATTACCCTACTAGTACTGTGCGAACTCTTCCGTACATGGAGTGTTTGGGATATCTCACTAACTCTCCCCCTTTTGGCGACCAAGAAATCCCGGCCTGTGTGGAGACCGATTCAATTCGATTGTGCACATTCTCAAGCGTTTTTGCGGGGTCTCATGGCCACAAGATGTGACAAGTGAGGGTTCTTGTTTGGAAAGTGCATTTTTGGCGTTGTCTTTGTGAGCTTCAATAGTGGTTTGATGTGGTTTTGAGAACTGGTGCCGTGCCGCCACCCAGGGGTATCCAGGGGTTTTTCAATCAGGAACAGGAGTCATGTAAAAAAAAAGGCCTCGTAGGCAGTGACTGTCATAAAATGTAATCAAGGCACTGGAGTTCTGGGGGGATGCTGCTTCAGCCAGTCAATTTTCACGTTGAATAAACGATGATTTCGGAGAATTGCCCCAATGGCCCTCCAATCCTCTACAATCATTTTTAATATTATATATATATATTTTTATATTGAGGGTATATATATATATACAAGATGATTGATTTGAGACTCTCACAGCCTTTGGTGACTCTCGCACTTTCCATGAGGTTGACTAACATAATCACATGATCAGCATTGTAAAATCATTTGATGAAGATGTGATGTGTGGTTTTGTCAAGAGGCATTCCCATCTCACGCCATGACAGCATGACGGCAACCCTCCCCTGACAGCATGACGGGTGGCGTGATCCGTTCATCCGTTCGTCCCGGGCTCAGGTGGTCCGTGAGATCGCACGATTGCATCGAGCCCAAGTCTTCGTGGAGAGCACCAAGGGAGTGGCTGGCCATGGCTGGGGGGAAGTTCGGAGGTGCGGTGATTAGATTGCCAGGCGAGCATTTGTCCAGCACACTCCAACCATTTTGATACATACAGTATTGATCAGTATTGTAAGTATATGAAAATCAAATACATCAGCACAGGTGAAGAAGACAAGTCTTAAAACCGCCAACCACATCCTGAATGCAAAGCAATGGGACTACGATAACGCAAAACAAGTTGCGATCAGAGCCTGGTTTTTGGATGTCCCAGGGTTCGACACAGAAAGTCTTCATCAACATTCCAGGGTTTCAGGGTTCCAGGTAAAGAGTGATCAAACCCTGGCCTCGGAAAGTGACCAACCCTGGCTCGATCGAGTGGCAAGAGATTTATGCTTCGCGGTACCAAAAACTGGGCGATTGGGATAGGCAAAAAAGATCAAACACGTGGCAGGTTTTGGCTCTAAGAGTGTAAGAGCCCGGAGAGCTTCCATGAGCTTCCACCAATCTGGTTTTCTCACCGAAATGTTTTCATCTGCACGATGAGCGTGGTCCACCTCCATCTCTAGTCTCTAGTTTGCAGAAGTGTGGCCACCTTGTAACTTCGACTTCGGCCCAAAGGGACGAGTAGGCGGGTTGGTGCTCCACGTTCGCCGATTGGTGCACAACTCCACCGATTGCGCATGCCTTTGAACATGTTTGAAGTTTGAACCATGTGCAACCAGCAGTCAACTTCACACCTGAACAATCCTGAACATGTTTTTGGTTTGGTGGCCGGCGTTAATCTTTGTTGGAAAAGAGACCTATCATACCGCCATACCTGACAGCCAGAAAAAGCATTCCAAAAATTCGGAAACGGACGCATCTCCTCTTCGGTCCCCCCCTCCCTCATGGCACCTCACCAAAGGGTCTCCATTTTAAAGTGTCGTATCTTTAACACCTGAGACGAACGCAGAATTATTGAATTGTTTTGTCTCAGAGGTTTCATCCAATCATGGGTGAATTGATTTTCGTTGGAAAACGATAGGGGACGGCCAAAAAAAACAGGGTGAAAACACGTCCACATGTCACTTGCTTGGATGTGTGGAGCTGATTTAATTGAAGCCACTTGGCTTCAAGCAATTCGGGCAAGCTCTAGCAGCACGTTTTTCGGTGTCATGTTTTCCTCCAAAGCCATGTGTATCTTAACGATAACTCAAACGATAGGGATTCGATAGGGGAAACGATAGCCTCCATGTTCAATTCCCACCAGTTGCCCATGTATGTTGGTTGCGGGTAACATGGGGAAATCGTTGTCCCCAAGCTCGGATTCTTCGGAAAGCGGTAAAAGAACACTTGGTGCTCCCTGTAAAGCATTCATGCGTGGGAAACCAACAAGAGGATCATGGAATCTTGCAGACGAGTGCTAGTTCTTGGAAAACGATAGGGGACGGTCTAATGTGAAAACGAATACAGCCTACACAAGAAATGTTGCATGTGGCTGTGTGGCTCACCTGCATTCCATTGCATTCCTAAAGTGTCATATATCTATGACACCGGCTTTCCTGCCCAGGGGGTCCTTTCTTTTTCGGCGCTCACATCGGCACGGTCAACACTGCAGGTCGGGAGCACCTTCCGTGTGGTCTTTCCCCCCAGCGCCATGGTCAAAGCACCGGCACCGCGCCGGACCCCACGAGACCGAGTGGGGCGCACCTTGACGGCTCCGTCGTAGAGAACGGTCTTAGTCGTTTTGGGCACCGAGATGTTTCGCTGCAACTTGTGGAGTTAAGGGAAATCATGGACCCACGAAAAAGAAGGACATTCGAAGACACTCGCATGTTCTTCTGCATTATGCGGCTAGTCTTCGTGGAAAACCACCCCAGATGATGTAGGCTAATAGAAATCACAGACGGACGTCTATCAGTGCACAAATTCCCGGAGGATGTTTCACTTCGCTTTGGCGGCCAGTTATGTCATAGACCAGTTGTGCTCGAGGTCATGTTCTGGAGCAAAGCAAATTCAGAATCGCCAGGCATCTCGCGGCGGATTTGAATGAAAGCACCAGTGCAATACACACGCTGAAAACACCAATGGATTCGACAAAATAGATGTCAATCAGAGGTGTAGCTGCTGTAGCTGTGGTGCTTTCATTCATGTTTTTATGGTCGGTGCTGGCACGGACTGAGCACGTGTTTTTTTAACGCAGCTGGCAAGTTGGCTAGGTCCCAAAGGCATGAAGGATACCAACTTAGCAAACTCAACAGTTTGTCCACCTTGTCAGACAAGGACCTGAAGCCCCCTGCGGGTGCTTATTGATGTCAAGCTCGAAGTTGCTAGGCCTTTAGCATTGCGGCAGGATCAGCTGCCTAGACAGTTCTTTTCGCGCAGGGCAAACCTGTCAGACATAGACACTCAGGCCATGAGAGGAAAAATACCAGCAAGCTACTGTAACACTTAAAGGGGCTCTTGGGGAATCGGATACAACATGGATACCACTTCAATGCTTAAATGCATTGCGCGTGCAAAAATGTGTCTTTAACACATGTTTAGCACATTGGCCACGCCATGGCATGCCTATATCGTTTATGAATAATATGTGTGGTGGATCCTTCACGCGACAATCTTGTTGAAGGGAGGCCATGGTGGTTTCATGAAGGAAGCAAGCATGGGTCAATCGTGAGTATTGCCCAACGTCACCAGAATTCCTTCAATTCGGCAAGCATTAGTCAAGGGGGAGAGCTGAAGGAGCACTGGGTTGATTAAGACTCAATATCGGTGGGCTCATGGGTTGACCAGGCGTGGCAAACAGAGCTCCTGGCTGTGAAATGTGGGCGAGCATTGCAAACTCAAGGTGTTTTGCGCTCACAGCCACCAAACGCAGGACCTGCACATGAGAACACTAACACCATCTAACACCCATGAACCATTTACGGTAAAGGCTTTCAAGGTCTTCCAGGCTTTACGACTTTTGAGGCCTGCCTTTCTTGTTCTTCCTCGAACCTTCAAAGTCATGCATCATTGGAGCGCGTTTTTCGCCATCCGACATGTGAAAAATGATCACACTGACCTCAGCCATTTGAGACAGAACTCCACTGGAGAGATGACAGCGCTACACAGGCAGCCGGATGTTTGGTTGTCGGCTATGGAATGTTCTTATAACGTCGACGTAATTACAGTAACGTATAGAATATACACATAGAGAGAGAGAGAGAGATACAGAAGGGGTGCTCCCAGGAATGTAAATGTCCCTTGGTAATATTACTGTGAAACCATGACGCATGTCTCAGTGACGGATTCGTGGAAGTTGCACTCTTTTCCGCGGCCTTCTAGGCCTAAGCCATATAGCTGCTACGCATGAGGCGAAAACGTGCGCCGTGAACCTGTCGTTGACTGGTTCTACAGTGGCACCGGAGCCTCACCTTTCAGGACCTTTGCTTGGTTGCCCTCGCGCCCGCTGCCGCTCCCTAGCTTTGTCCTTTTCTTTGGCCAGAACTACGCTCTGAGGTTTCCTAGGTTGTCCTTGCACGGCGGTGTTCCGGGCAGCGACCTTCGAGCCCAAAGAGGTGACCCTTGGCCTCGCTACTTTTGCACCTTCGGACTTTCATTGTCTTTGTGTACCTTTTGCACGCCCTTTTGGAACTTTCTCCTTGTGTTCGTCTTTGACTGCTTAACCCTCGTAGAGGACCAGCACCCCGTTCACTACTTTTGGAGCACCTAGGCTCCACCTTTTGCAGAAGGCCTCAACAAGCGGCCTTCCTTTGAAACTTCGAACCTTGTCAGTTGTTTTTAGAGGCCTAGCCTTTGCCTCCCTTGCACCTCAACAGCATGGCAGCAAGCTCAGAAGAGTCGGGGACGTCGAGTTGGTACAGGGTCCCTACCTGGTCGGGCAATCCGGCCGAGTGGAGGACTTTCCGCCGAGAGATGAATTGGTGGATTGCCTCCTTGGACAGCGAAAGCTGTAAGAAGTTCAACGTTGCAGCCCGTTGGGCCTTGAGACAACATGGAGTTGTTCGAGCTCGATGTGAGGAATTTGATCCGTCGGAGTTGGTTGGCATCCAAGAGGAATCCATGGAAGATCCAGAAACAAAAGAGAAGATCATTGTGACGCCTGCCAACCCTTTTGCTGGACTCACCAAGCTGATGGATGCCTTGGAGGCTACCGTTGGAAAGTCGAGCTTGGACCGAAAAGGTGAACTTCGCGCCATGTACTATCAAGAGATCAAAAGAAATGCTGGCGAAAGGATTAGTGCATTTTGCACACGGTTCAGAACGCTTGCTGCAGATCTCAAAAGAGAAGGCATTGCAATGCCTGAGGAAGAGCTTGGTTGGATGCTTAAGGAGCGCCTTGGATTGGACCCGATTCGCCAACAATTGTTGGAAACAGCATTGGCTGGTCGGGAATCCTATGATGTTGTGGAAACGGAGTGCCTTCGGTTGTTTCGTGATTTGCACACCTCCGATCCCCTCTACAAGGCCAAGCATGCAGACAAGCCACCGTTGTTGCAGAGATTTTTGCAGTCGCACAATAGCCACACGTCGTACAGGTCCCCCAGTTCTGCCACTCCCTCTGTTCGTTCATTCAGGTCACAGAGCTCAGCTTCAGCTTCGAGTCGGCCACCTTTCCGTCGGTTCGGAAACAGCGGTGCACCACCTCGTCAGGCTCTGGTGACAGAGCTGCCAGAGGATGCTGAACAGTATGAGCCCGAGCTTGAAGAAGACACTGAACTGATTCCGGCTGAGGAAGCTTCACCCCAGTCGATTGAAGAGGTACTTCAAGCCGAAGCTGAATACTTAGCAAGCGAGATCCAGGAGTTAGAGGACCAGGGTTGCGAAGCTTCAGTTTTGGAGGAGTTGGAATCAGGCCTTGAACAGGCCGCTGAAAGCCTGGTGACCATGCGTGAAGCCAGAAGCCGCATTGCTGAAGTGAAGAAGGACCGCGGCTATGGTAAGGCCGCATCATCATCCTTTTCAGCTGGCAAGAAACCGCATGGCAATCAGGTTCCCAAGCAGAAGGCCTACACCCGTTGTTTTGATTGTGGAGAACCTGGACATTGGGCGGGTGACTCCGCATGTGCAAAGCCCGGAGCTGGCTTGGGAAAGAAAGGCCGTGGCAAAGGTCTGAGCACCTCCTCTCCAGCGAAGCAAGTGCGTGTGACTGAAGCCCTCAACACGGAGCATTTGTTGGAAAGTGACGCATTGGTTGAACCACCGGTTGAGCATGAAGTGTTGATGTTGACAACATTGGTTGACAAGTCGGTTGATACATTGGTTGATACAGGTGTGTTGGTTGATCAGTCGGTTGACATGTCGTTGGAAGAACAGTCGGTTGCAAAGCGTGTCGATTCATTGGTTGAGCATGAAGTGTTGACATTGTCGGCAGAGACCTTTGGCCTGCCCTTGTCGGAAGTGCTGGCGCAATCCCACGACAAAGTTGCAGTGAGCACCAATGCTCAGTTGGCTGTTGACAAACAGTTTGTTGGTGCGTTGGACTCAGCTTGCAACAGGACCTGCGCCGGATCCACCTGGTTGAAGTGTTACTTGGAAATGTTGAAGCAAGCCCCAAAGTATATCCAGCACCTGGTTTCCCATGTCTCTGAGAATGAGCTGTTCCGTTTTGGAAATGGCGGCACCCAACGTTCAAATGTTCGGTACAGGCTACCTATGATGATTGGCTCCACCCTTATCACGGTCTGGGTTTCCATTGTGCCGGTAGCATCATTGGGATTATTGTTGGGGAGAGATTTTTTGAGTGGGATTGGTGCAGTGATGTCGTTCGCTCGCAAGAAGCTTCGGGCGGACCTTGTCAACAATGAGTTGCACGATTTGGGTCAACTTGCTGCAGGACACTTCACCCTGCCTTTGCCACCAACGGGAGATTGGGTGCGTCCGGGCACTCAACGCTGGCGAAGCTTTGGTCAAGATGGTGTTGTCGAGATGCAGTTGAACTGTCACGATTGGTGGAACAAGAAACTTCTTTCTCGTTTAGCTCGTTTTGATGTTTTGCAAGCACCTGCAGCACCGCACGAGCACCTGGTCACTGAACGTTCCTTGTCGGCAATGGCTCAAGCGATGACGGTGGCTCAAACCCCTCTGACCCTTCCGTCGACGACTCCTACTACCTCCTGCCGACCGACGACTACCAGTGACCAAGGACCAAATGGCCTCTCAAGCGATCGTGCACGACCTCACTCAGGACACCTCAGGGATGATCGCCAAGTGGAGGCGCATGGTGCTACGACAGCGGGCTCGCGCCGAATGGCACGGCCGTGGATTGCTCTTATGGTTGCTGCAGCGACCGCATCTGCGGTATGCTCCCTTCCCATATCCAAGCATCTCGAACGTCAAGCAGTGGGAAGAACAAGCGGTCTCAATGACTGCGCAGCGGCCCAAAGCCATCCTCAAGGAGCACTACACGAGAAGCTGCACCAACCAGGTCTACGAGACCAAGAACCTGGTGGAACTGGGTCAGTTCCGAAATCGTGTTGGCCTGCAGTTCGCCTTCATAGAAGACAGTCTTCTTCAAGGAATGCTGGCAGCCCGTGCGAACAAGGGCATCACTACGCAGTTGAAGAAGGAAGCTTTCCAAGAGGCTCAAATCAAGGCAGCAGCGATGAAGTCTCAGGAAGATCAAGAAGCTGCCGTTCGACAGCTGATCGGACCAAAGGGTGGCCTACCGTCACTCAAAGCCGACCTCATTCGCCTGGCTGCCCTCCTCAACGTGACCCTCGACTCCAAGATGACCAACGAGCAGATCAAGGCGGCTTGCCGACCCATGATTGCCGAGCTCATGGCAAAACCGAAGCCGAGCAGCAGCAGTTCAAAGAGCTCGACAGATCCGGCAATTCCCGCCTCTCAGGCGAAAGCCAAGCCTACCTCAGCGCCACAGGTGATGGAGGCTCCTCGTCGATTCGACGGCCCGCAGATGATCTCAGTTCAAGATGTTCACGAACTGCTGGCAGCTCAGGATCAGAAGTTCCAGACCATGCTGAATCAGGTCATGCAACACGTGACCTCTCAGCCAGTCCCCAAGGCAATGGCTGGCCATCCGATTCTCACCGGATGGGACGCTCCTCCAGACGAGACCATGGAGGACGGACGTTTTCATGGCTGGACACCCGAGGAGATCCGCCAGATGAATGCCGACCACATTCAAGAAGATCTGGATTGGCGGATGGCCAACGGCATTCCTCCTCGCGAGATTTGATGGAGTTGACTTCGAACCCCTGGCGACTTCATCAAGATGTCAAACCAGGGCAAGCTCAGCTGATCTCAGAAGCCTGGAACAAGCACTGCCGAGACCGTCGTTTGGTATCTCTGAGTGCCTATGAGGTCAACGAGATCTACGCTGGTGAATGGGAAGCGACAGTGAATGAGGCCCAAAACGATGTCTTCCTGACCTCCGTTGTCATTGGCCTCGATGATGACACCTCTCCGAATGAAGACGCTTCTCAGAATGTCAAGAATCCATCGAATGCCAAGCTCACACCGAATGTCAACAAGTTCAAGAATGACTCCGGAAAGTTCGTGAAGCCAAAGACCTTCATGAGTGAGATCTACACCACGACTCAGAGAGTCACCAAAGCTGCACAGCAACGTGGGCACGTCACCGGATCACCTTTGTCATTGGAAACGGGCTGGAATTTCTTGCGGAGTCATGACCGCGAGGTGGCTCGAAAGCTTTTGTCTAAGGAGATCCCCTATTTCCTGGTGATTGCCTTCCCTTGCAGTTTTTGGAGCATCCTCCTGAACCTGAATCCTCCGAAGGATCATGAGAGAAGGCTGAAAGAAGCGATGCAGTTGCTCCGCTTTGCTATACAGCTGGCTCGTGATCAACATGCCCGTGGTTTGCACTTCGTTCTGGAGAATCCTCAAAGCTCCAGAGCATGGTCTTTGGATGAGATGCAAAAAGCCCTGTCTGCCTTGCAAGCTCGTTTGGTAGACTTCCATCAATGTCGCTTTGGCCTTCGAGGACGCAATGGACAGTTGGTCCGCAAAGCAACTCGCTTGGCTACTTCGAGCGACTATATCGTCCAGACCTTAGATGGCATGAAGTGTTTGGGAAACCACAACCACGAGCACATCATTGGTGGAACACACATCTCAAGGCCTTCCGGTCACTATCCATGGGAGCTCGCCAAGACTCTCGTGAAGGGAATGGAAAAGCAGTTTGAAGCCGATTTCAAAAGGCCTCACCCTGGCAATATGCCTGGATCACCTCACTCCACCTTAGCTGTTGAAGAAGGAGAAGCTGAACACTACCCCGCTGCACTCGATGACAGCGATTCAGAAGCAGAGCTTCCAGATCCTCCTGAACCTAAAGGAGATGCCAAACTTCCAGCTGGAGTGAAGCTAGCGCTCAAAAGGTTGCACGAGAACACTGGTCACCGTTCTGGAAAACGTTTAGCCAGAGCATTGGCCATTGCGGGTGCGCCAGCAGATGTGGTGAGAGGAGCCTTACACCTACGTTGCTCCATTTGTGATGAGCAGCGTGCTCCCAAGGCGAGGAGACCTACCAGTTTGCCTACGCCAAAAGATGTTGGCGACCAGGTGTTCATCGACATCTTCGAGGTCTTTGCTCTCCAAGAGCGCCGTTACTATGTGGTTCATGCAGTTGACTTCGTGTCGCGGCTTCAAATGGCCGAACTGGTGGACCAGAAATCCTCAGACATGGTCGCTCGCTTCCTGTCCACAAGGTGGCTTCCAGTTCTTGGCGCACCGCGCACCCTGGTGGCGGATCAAGGAAGAGAGTTTGTTTCTCATGTCTTTGAAGAGTACTGCAGTGGACATTCCATCTACTTGCACCACACAGCAGTTCAAGCTCCATGGCAAAATGGAATCGCTGAACGTGGTGGCTCCATTCTCAAGGGCATCATCAAGGCTTTGGTGAAATCACATTCAGTGAGCACACGAGATGACATGGACGTGTGCATTCAAGAGGCTGTAGCCGCTTACAACAGCGACATGACTGATGCCGGTGTCACGCCCAATCAGGCCGCTTTTGGCCGTCAGCCTCGTCTCCATGGTGACACCCTTGGCGACTTTGGAAGAAGGTTGAGCGAGCACGGGCTAATCGAGTCAAAGCCCAGCCTGGCTCGACAAGTGGCCATCAGAGAGTCAGCCCGGATTGCTATGTTGAGAATGCACTTCTCCAAAGGTCTTCGACGGGCCGAAACAGCCAGATCGAGAACATCCACCATTGAGCACAACCTTCAACCTGGGCAGATAGTCTACTTCTACAGGCAGACTCGCTACAACAACAAGACATCAGGTTCCAAGAAGCGCCTCAGTCTTCGACGATGGCATGGACCAGCTCTTCTCATTGCTTTGGAGGGCCACACGAACGGCTTCGTGAGCTATCGGGGCCAATTGACAAAGTGCGCCCTAGAACACTTGAGGGCTGCGAGTACTATGGAACAAGTGGCCACCTCTGTCTGGGAAGATGCCATTCAAGAAGTGATTGAGGCAGCTTGCCACGACCAGTCCGGGAACTCTGAAGTTCGAGATTCCGAACCTGCAGTACCAGAACAAGCACGTCGTGAAGGGCAACCTCAGGAGGTGTTCGAACCTGATACTCCAGTGATCCCTCAAGCTCAAGGATTACCTTCGTCCGCAGCTCCACATGATCTTCCTCCTCTTCAACCGCAAGAGATGGTGGCTGGAATGTCTAGAGCCTTGGCACCAGGAGCTGAAGGAGCTTTTGGATCGAGTACCAGAAGGAGCTCTTCAGTGATGAGACCGAGCTTTGACCTATCTCAGTCTCCGTTTCCGCAAACTCTTCAGAAAGCACTGCTCCAAGCACAAGAACGAGCAACCGAAGTTCCTGTTCCAGAAGCTGGCAATAAACGCTCGGCTGAGCTTGATGCTGAACAACTTCGGGAAGAAGTGCAAGAGGCTGATGAGATTCCACCTCCGGCGACTTCAGTCACTGCTCCTCAGTCCAGTGAAGTGCTGAATGTGACCGCTTTGCCTTATGAGGTGATGGAACTACAAGCGAAAGCGGAACTCCATCCTCTTAGACAACTACAAGCCTTGGCTGCTATGGATCGTCGCGATCCTCTCGGAAGCAAAGTGCTAGATCATGGCACTTGGCGTGGTGATTGGCCACTCCCTTCAAGGACAACCTGGCAGAGAATGAAGCTTCTTGGTCAGACTTGGCCGCTTGGCAACCACGAAGCTGCTTCTGAAGTCCTCGCCGTCCTCACGGCCAGGAAGGAAAAGTCATGGAACTCTTTGACAGAGTGTGAGAAAAAGGAATTCCGTGCAGCCGCCCTCAAAGGCTGGCAAGTCTGGACAGACAATGACGCAGTCGAGATCCTTCCAGATGATGAAGCAGGGCGCATTCGTGCGCGACTGAGAGCTGAGAACCAAAGTCACCGCATCTTGGTCCCTCGTTATGTGATGGTGGACAAGAATGACGGCCTTCGGACGGAGACCAATCAGCTTCCCTTGCTGGCGAACGCTCGCCTGGTAGTCCCCGGGTACCAGGACATATCGGCCTATGGCATCAGATGTGACGCCCCAACAGCGTCAAGGACAAGTCAGCATTTGCTCCTGGCCTACACGGCTTCAAGCAAGTGGAGTTTGTGGTCAGCTGACATCAAGTCTGCCTTTCTCAAGGGTGAAGAGTTTGGGCCTGAAGAAAGGATCCTTTACTTGGCCAACATCCGGACCAAGTATGCTGATGAACCCACCTTACCCTTCTCACCTCATGGCCTATGCAGGGTCAAGAAAGGCATCTTCGGCTTGGCAGATAGTCCGCGCCGATGGTACCAGCGGCTCAACAAGGCGGTGGTCAAACGGGGCTGGAAGATCTCGGTGCTAGACAGCGCCATGTGGATGCTATGGAGTGAAGATGGCTCCGAGTTGGAAGGCATCATGTTGTCCCACGTGGATGACCTCTTGATGGGTGGCAATGAGCGTGCTCAAAAGACCCTAGAATCTCTGGGTCAAGAACTGGGCTTTGGATCCATCTCCAACAAGTCCTTTGTCTACTGTGGCAAAAAGATAGAGCAGCTCGATGATGGCACCATCTCCGTGTCCATGGAGGAGTATCACTCGAACTTGCAGCAGGTGAAGATATCTCCAGATCGAAAGAAGACACCAGACGCTGCGCTACATCCTTCAGAACACAAGCAACTGCGGGCAGTCCTTGGCTCCCTTCAGTGGTTGGTGGCCCAGATCCGCTATGATGTTGCCTTCCAGCTGTCAAGCTTGCAGGGCGAATCAGCGAGCCCTACAATTGGAACTCTCTTGAGGGCAAATTTGCTTGTGAGAAAGGTGAAAGAGAATCCCACCTTTGCGCTGAAGTTCAAACCCATGACCCTCAAGGACAGTGGCATCGTCGTCGTTTCTGACGCTTCTCTGGGAAACATGACGAAGGCCGGGAGTTCCCAAGCTGAAAGCCTCCAGAAAGTCTACAGCCAAGCCTCATACTATGTCCTCCTGGCAGACCGCCAACTCCTTGATGGCAATGAAGGACAGTTTGCGATCCTCGACGCTCGATCGCACAGGCTTCAAAGAGTTTGTAGATCAACCTTTGCCGCTGAATTGCTCGGCATTGAGGAGGCCATGGATGCAGGACAGTATTGCAGAGGAGTGCTAGCTGAGGCCCATGGCTATGCCTTGGATAAGAAGCCCTTCGAGGTGAGCACAGATTCCATCTCCATGGTGGTTGTCACCGACTCCAAGGATGCCTACGACAAAGGGTCGAGCTCAACCCCGTCGTATGGGTCGCAGAAGTCACTTGCCTTCACAGTGGCTTGGATCAGGTCCATGCTGGCCCGGTGCAACACGATGTTGCGTTGGACATCCACCGAGAACCTCTTCGTGGATTGCGGAACGAAGGACATGGATTCCGCCCACCTTTTGTGGATCCTCGATGCCTGTCGCTGGAGCATCCGATATTCTCCAAGCTTTGTGAAGCAAAGCTCCAAGGGGAAGGCTGCCAAAAAGGTAGTTCATGATGATGTTCGTAGTGATTTGGGCACCCCTTTTGAGAGCACCAGCCCTATATATGGGCATGTGATGAAGTTAAGCACCCAGCCAGGTTGGCACAGAATTTCAGAAGACTTGGCAGTGCATGTTTGCTCGAATGCCCGCTCCTTTCGTTCTCCCGAGCCCCGCTTCAAAGTGGACTCACTTCCGTACAGGTTCACCTTTGCCTGTCTAGAGGGAGCTCACGCCTTGACCTGGCGAAGCCTTGAAGAAGGCATTGACATGCGAGATTTGAAGAACCTTCGTGCCAGTCTCGGCACTTGTGCATCGAAGCTCATTAGTTGCTTCAGCACGCATCCGTCGCTGATCCACAAAGAGAGGAGATCAGCTGTGAAACCATGACGCATGTCTCAGTGACGGATTCGTGGAAGTTGCACTCTTTTCCGCGGCCTTCTAGGCCTAAGCCATATAGCTGCTACGCATGAGGCGAAAACGTGCGCCGTGAACCTGTCGTTGACTGGTTCTACAATTAACATGCATAAAATGTTAGAAATTACAGTGCGTATATGTTGCATGTCCATGTGCCACACCCCTAATAAAGCGTATGTTGTCATCACTTGCATCTGCTGCCCACTTCAAAAATGTGAAAACTGCAACAGAAAATGCAAGCATCACCTGTATCTACCTCCCACTGGAAACAAACAAAACAACCACACCAAAAAATAATAATATTCAAGACAATTTATGTATATTATGTTGATATACAAAACACATATTCTGGGACTCTCTGCTGCCGTCCCCCGAAACTTATGGAATATAGTTGTTCTTTTTCCGGTTTTCCATGTTGATGTTCTTTTCAGGCTCTTGGCTGGCGCCAGGTTTTTCTGCCGGCTTTCAAATCATTAAACGCGTCGGCCAAGTAAAGTGAACACTCTCAGGGTGGGCAATGGGCCGGGCTTGGTAGCAAAGGTCGCCATTGTGTAATATCTTTGACATGTAGACGAATGTCCGGCCTCCTTTTTCTTGCCAGGGCTCTTGAACGGTTTCAGGTCCAGTGGGGCATGGTTGTTTTGTACGGCGGCACATTGTCAAACACTTCAACTTGTCACAAAATTCCTGGAGCTGTTCCGCGAAACATCTATGATGAAATGTTTGAACCTGCAGTAAAGCCAAATGTTTGCTGATCTTTTTGTTTGCCGCAAAGTTTTCCGTGGCCAACTTGAAAGTTCCATCAGAAAGCTGCTCACAACGCCGAAGTACCGCCAGAGTGTCAACTCTGGCCGCCAGAACAGTCCAGAGAACACTCACAGGCCAGCAAAGAAATAACCTTGTGGTTCGGCCGCTCAGACTCAGTGCTGTTTCGGCTCATGCCAATCCACCACATGGCTTGGTTTATGAATTCTTTTGGAGCAGAGGAGGTGATCCGCAACCACAGTGATCCCCCGGGAGCGACATGTATTTTCAAAGTTTCTACAAACATGTTTGCATAAAAGACAGCAAAACCACAGTGATTTTGTCATCACCTTGCTTTTCACCAACAGACTGACATGCTGGCACATACTCCGCAACAAGTTTTGTGGCGGTGCTGTGATATTTATTGCGGCATGTCCATCTAGTTCGGTGCAGCAACCTTCAGCTCATGTCTTTTGACCCAAGCAAAGCCAAAGTCCTCATCGGCGCACGCAGCAGCAAGTTGGAAGCGAGGCTTCTTTTGTCACACAAACAACTCCTGGAGTGAGCGCATGCCGTCATGCATTCACCCGTTGTGAGCAGCGCGCGGATAGTGTGGGACCACTGTTTCGCAGTTCCCATCACTTGTTGTCAAAAACATGCATCCAACGAATCTTACCCTCGCGCTGAAGAAAGCTAGAAGGTATATACAACATCCAAAGAAGGTGGTCCGAGGCAGTCGTTTGCTCATACATGCATTCTCAAAACAAACCCAAAGGCCCAAGGAATTTCACCCCGAAAGGGGAACTGAAACACTCTTGCTCACCGGAGAATACATGTTCACCCCATCATCAAGACTACATCGCAAAGGACCATTCGGCAACTGGCATCCCCTGATCAAGCGCAAGAAATGCTGCAGAGTCAATTCTGGGTTCACTTGCAAATTCCCTTGCCATGTCCTTTACCTTTGGTTGCGCTTCCAACCTTTCCGCCTTTGCCTTTTCCTTTCCGACCAAAGTGAATTACACCGGCATAGACCCCAGATAGCGGGTGCATAGGTTTAAAGGACACGCCACGGACGGCTGTCACCGCAGCACGCAACATCAGACCAGACCACCAATATGCGCAACATCTATCAGCTGAATGTGCCCGCTTTGCTCAACACAGACGTAGAACTGTAAGATCGGCAAGGACCAGCCAAAGCTGCCCACACGACATGATGATTATTGCTGCACAACACGGTGTCACGCACAATATGACAGCATGTCACCCCTGGCATGACATGATGTCATCCCTGCCGTGACATGATTGCATTCTGGGCATGACGTGCCCTGGCAGAACATGAAGTCACCCCTGGCATGATGATGCCATCCCTGGCATAATGTGATGCCATTCTGGGCATGACATGATGTCATCCCTGGCAGGACATGACGTCATCGTCGACCCAGCACCAGCGCCAGCACGGCTGCAGCACCAGCAAGACGAAACGCCGATCCAGAGCCAGCCCCTGTGCCAGCACCAGCAAGGCACCAGCAGAAGCAAAACAAAACGACAATCCAGCACCACCACCAGCACGGCAGCAGCGCCGGCAAAGCCAAAATGCAGATCCAGAGCCAGCTCCTGTATTTGCGCCAGCACGGCAGCAGCGCCTTCAAAGCCAAAACGCCGATCCAGAGCCTGCACCTGCACCAGCAACAGCATGGCTGCAGCACCTGCAAAGCCAAAACGCCGATCCAGAGCCAGCATCTGAACCTGCACCAGCAACACCTGCACCAGCATCCGCACGGCAGCAGCACCTGCAAAACCAAAAAGCCCATCCAGAGCCAGCACCTGCTCCTGCATCAGCACGGCAGCAGCACCTGCAAAACCAAAACGCCGATCCAGAGCCAGCTGCACCTGCACAGCACCCACAAAACCAAACGGCCGATCCAGAACCACACCATTGAGAAGTTGGAACCCCTATAGCCTGCAGCTATCTGGGGAAAATGGAGCCCGAGTGTTGCTTAAGAGGCATGGATCCTCATGTGGACCATGCTGAAAACTGTAAGACTGTAAGAGCAAGACTTGCATTTTCCATGTCCTTTTTGGGTTTTTGAGACAGAGCAACTCTACCCTTGTTCTTACTCTTCCCTTTGCCAAGTCCAGGGGTTTTCTTCACAGCGCCTGTACCATCAGCTAAAACTTCAGAAACGAAAGGCGCAAAATCATGCTTGGACATTGTCATACCGGAAGTCGTTGAAGCAAAATCACTTGGGTGTTGTTCGACAAACCCTCAAATTACAACTTTCCTTCCAAGTCTTTCTTGGCGTTTCAAAAGGGAGTTTGCACGGTCAACGGTCCGTGTATAAATCACTGTCGCTTTGGCAATCAAATATTTTCAGCACTCATGCACGTGTTTGCGAACACTTGGAGACAAAGGATTCTTCACGTTGCTGCTTAGCCAGGTAAACTTTATGCTAAATTTCACAGGAATCCCGAAGGGTGGTCTCAAAAGAAAGCAAGGCTTGCACCTGTTAGGAATGCGATTTTGGGAAAGCAAATTAATGGCGTCCTGATTTCTGTGATTTTTGTGTTGGTTTTCTCCGAAGGACCAACATCTACTCCTTAACTGAGGGATCAGAAGAGTAAGCTGAACGGTGGCTCTTCCCTTCCTTGATAGGTTGCTGATGAAACGTTTGCAGAACACAGATTTCTGACACCAACCAACTTCAACAGCTGTGATCGTTGTAAGGAACAACATGCGCAACCGTTTGTACTATGAAAATTTTGTGTCCTCCTTAATGGAAGACACCGTGCTCATATACATACATATATAATAGAATATAATGTTATTATATATGTGTATATATACCCTAATCTTCAAAGGCTAAGTTTAACTTCGACGTTGTTTCTGTCTATGTTTAACCAGGTTAAACTTCGTCGTTCTGCGGAGTCTGTTCTGTCTAAGACAACTAACATGAGTAAAACTTAGACGCACTGAGGTGTACAAGTTTAACTTCGACGTTTCTCATTGGCTAAGTTAAACTTCGACGTTGGAAGTTCTGGGTATATATATTTAGGTGCATGTTTACAGTCAAAGTGACGCATAAGCATCGTAAAATAGAGAAGGGGGTTCTGGACAAGGTGGGATCTGATCAAATGAGCAGTCTAGAAAGGAGAAACAGCAGTGTGTGATACAAAGAGTGTTGGATAAGAGAGAATGTTTTCATGTAGGCGTAGGTTCCACGAATGATAGTGGGTTCCTACAATGTGAAGGAATGTTTTAAAGGATACCTTTTGAATAGCCAATCGCAGCAACGAAAGATATTGTTGTAAAAAGACTGTATAGTCCAACAAAAATGTACGTTTTACTGCGTGGCCGAGCCTATTGCATACATGAAACACTGTAAAATACGATGTTGTTTAAGCATCTGAAAGGCAAATTTTACATCCCTACCAAAATTTGCTCTTTCTTTCTCTCTCTCTCTCCACATATATATATATATACCCACATGGAAGCAGGAATGCACTTGACAAACGTTTTCTCTTCATAAAATATGGGTTCTAGGTGCGCTTGATGGTTTCATAGTTTCCTGGATTCCTGTTACACTTATTTAGGTTGCCATGATGTTCATCAAATTGTTGCATATTGTTGCCTAACATGCTAAAGTTTGAGTTTGGAAAAAATGCCCGTCAAACTCTTCAACCTGACAGTTCATTTGGAGGCTTGGTGCCCTATGGGCGCTGCTCTTTGCTTTGGCCACTGCAGAAGAAGGCCTGTGTCATTTGTGTGAGGGTATATCTCTCGGACTCCGATAGTGACAGTAACACATGGATGCACTCAGGGTTTGGGGTTTGTGTCAATTACCTAACTAGCCTACTTGTTTAACATTTTGGAGGGTGGTTTGGCTATCATCAGACTTGCTTTTGCCAAAGCAAACCTCACGACAGCGCACGACGACATCAAGCAACACCACCTCTACAGGAGAAGATGTCAAAGGCCCAATGATTACGAATAAGGCGGGTTTTTGGTCTCAGTGTTTGGATTTTTGCCAAACATATGTTATGTTTGGATATGGGATTACAAGTCGGGCAAAATATTACGTATTGGGACGGTGTTTGCATATGTTTGCATCGTCCCAATCCCAAGGACATGTCGACGCTGGTGTGCAGGTCTATTTCGATGTCTCCATTGGAGGAAAGCCTGCGGGGCGAATTGTCATGGGCCTCTATGGCAAGAAGGCTAACAATGGGTCAAAGGAAGCTCGATTCACCTTCAGTTTCTGGAGTGAACACCCAGCTTTCAACACCAAAGCAAGCTGGTCCAGTTAACGGTTCGATGAACTTCAATCAAGCAATTAGCCAAAGGATATTGAAATACTTTGAAACACATGTTGTATTCATATTTCTCCTCAAACAGGTGCCAAAGACTGTGGAGAACTTCCGTGCTGCACTTAATATCCATGCTTCTTCACAACAGCTTGAAGTCGGAAGAAGTCGCCTGTCCGCCGTGACAGGAGCATTGTGTACTGGCGAGAAGGGTTTTGGATACAAAAGCTCCAAGTTCCACCGTGTCATCAAGGACCGGTTTGGGCGTTTTGGTCCGCACTCAGATCGATTCCCACCAATGTAGGTTCACAATATATGTCACAATACTACATGCAGTCTCACAGTCTCACCCTGATAAAAGAGAAAAGGCCCTGTGAGACAGACATGGAGTGAGTCGCCCTGTGCAGAGACAGACTAAGCCGATGATGTCATGATGCCTTCCGCAGCCGTTTCCCCAGAGTCCATCACACCGACACGGAGCGATCTGCAAACGACCGACACATGGCGCTGACAACTCCTTTGACCGAACTTTTCAAGATCAAGCATCCTGTGATGTTGGCAGGAATGGTTGCTCGGCGTGAAAAACAGAGCTAGTAGCAGAAGTAGCAGAACTTTGTGGATCCTGACTGCTCGAAAGGCACTGGACAGTGACCTTTGGTACTTGGTGTCAATATTGAATTCGATTTGGTGCTTGTGCCCAGCAGCACGCCGGCTGGGGAGTTGTCTTCGCCCAGCTCAAGCCGTCGGTTCTTGAACCCGTTTGCTTCGAATCAACATCCCACTGAAGCAATTGACCCAAGCTCCAAAAATGACGATCAGTGCAGAAAACAGGTCCACTGAATATGCACCATGATCCACCTGACCTTGTGGGAAGGTGAGAGTCAACCAACCACCTGGTGCGTCCGAACCCTTCACCCCACCGAGCTGTGCGTCTGCGTCCGCGATCGAGGCTGGTGCAGCTGGCCCTGAGCTGGCGGCCGCTGTCTCCAATGCAGGTGGCTTGGGAAACATTGGCCACTTGGCGAAAGGACGAGGAGGGAGGACGAAGCCACTTTGGACGGGGAGGAGTGATGTTGAGTGAGTAATTGAGTGAGGTTTTTAAGTGTCTCAAAAGCATACAGCAGAATCATACTTAGACATATAGCTCAGCTATGACCGTAGCTTTTGTAGTTTGTCGCGTGTGGCATTCCTAAAGGCAAATGCATCGATGTCAATGTTCGAGTACAATCCTGCCTAGCAAAAACACTATCCCATGGCCACGTGAATCCTGGTGATCTTGAATTCCTGTGACCGTGGTGTTCTTGTCACACTTGTCACCTTGAGTTTTTACTGGGTGCATTTGTATCATTTGTGGCTTTAAGATGCTTTAAGACGCTTTTTAAGCGACCAACGAAGCACTGACTTCATTCTTTGCTCCGTGTCATTCTTTGCTTCACTTGGAGATATCTCCTTTGCAGAAGACCGGTCATGCCGTTTCATCGGTTGAATTAATGGTCCCACACAGCTTCGCCTCGCAGGTGGTGTTGGATTTACGCCAGACGGCTTGCGGAAAACCATTAAGATGCTGAAGAAGGACCGCCTCGCTTGCTCGCGGCCCAAAAACCGAAAACGGAACTTCTGACGGTCACAGCTTATTTCTAGGCCAAGCCATGTCAAGCCTTATTTCTAACCGTTTGTCGGTTTGGTCCCACAGACTAAAGATTTGTTCATGATTCCGATCAGACCGCGGATTTTCTGCCTGTCCCACGAGTCAGTTGGACAGGGGTTCATTTGTACACGCGGAAATCGCATCGTCTGTACACGCGGCTTCCGTATGTGGGGTGCCTAAACAGTGTGGCCATACTTTGGGTTCTTACGGCAGGTGCAAAGGCCGGGTGCTCAGATGTGTGTGAGCCCCACCCCTCCCCACCCCAACCCACCCCACCCCACCACCGCACCCTTACTTCAACATTGGGATATTAATTAGATATAGTCGAAGTGAACGTCATTAGCCCCACCCCACCCCACCTCACCCCACCCCATGTGCCCTGTGTGCGCAGATGATCCTGATCTGTGTGCGCAGATGATCCCCTGTCCAGTCAGTTGATCCAGTGGTCGGCAATGCCGGTTTGGTTCCGCACCGGTGCACGCGGCACGGGCACGGTGCACGCCACAGGAGTTGGTGGACAAGAATGCACCTTTTGGAGTGGACTTGCTGCTCCCTCAGGTGCTACAAGTGTGACAGTGTGCACAAAAATGCACAACATATCCTACACGATGCCCTGCGTGTGAGTGTGTGGGCTGGTCTGCCTGCGTGGCAGGTGGGTGGAAACGCAAGGAAGACCAACAAGGATTACACTGCAGGAACATTGCCAGAGCTGGTTGACATCATCATTGAAGAGAAGGCTGGTTGGCTGAATCAAAGGAACGAATGGCATAGTCCACTTCACATATATTTAGATAAATGTCCAAAGATGTGTGCTGGTATTGCTTTGTGCTTTGGGGTTCTCTGGGACACATACTTGATTCCATGAAAAGAGGGATGCAAGATTGCTGCAATATACTGATGCCAGATTCACCTAATTACTGTATCCGGTCTACGTGAGTCATTGTTCATGGTGGAGTTCGGTTCTTTCAAACGTGAGCTCGGTGTGTTCTTTCTACTTCAGTGTCACCCCGTGTACGGAGGCTGCGCTGTTTATTTGCGCTGTGGGTGTCCCACCCAAGTGGGCGGTGGACAAGTTCCACGCAGCCGGAATTCCAGCAGCTCGGCCGGGGCCGGAAGTCGGTGCCCAAACCGCTAGCAGCTAGCAGATCATCGCAGAGAAGAAGCCCTCAGAGGTTTCTTCAGACTGTTCTACCTTCTGACCGTTTTCTTCAGACTCAGTCTGTGAATGTTATACCAACGAATGCAAAAACGACAGTGGCTGATAGTTTCGATCCTTCTGCACGTGGCTTTTGGCGGGCTGAGGTGATGAACATGATTGGTGCTGTGAAGCATGTGGAGAAAGCGTTGGAGTCGGGCGTTGACATCATTTGTGCACAGGGAGGCGAAGGAGGTGGCCACACAGGTGAGGTGTTGGGAGAAAGATGAGACAAGGGGGCCAACATGTCTCAAAAGGGGGGCCAACATGTCTCAACCCTTTGATTCACTGGGTGCGTGATTCGCATTGAGGCTAGTGGAAATCCACAAATTTGCAAGGTGAGTTTTTCACATCTATGCAGATCCCAACCATCAGCAACCCCAGGTTGGTGTATACTAAGTGCGACTGAAAACCCATTGAAAGTTCACGAATTTCCCGCCTGGATGGTTGGCGGTTCCCCTTGGAACGGGACTATTAATGGATCATTAATGACTCTCTTATTGATCCACAAGCTCACAAGGCTACCGGCCCTGGATAGAAAAGACGACTCTTGGGTCAGTGAGTTGAAGGTATAGGTTGTACCTTACGAAACAATCATACATCAACTCCGCAAAAGATCGCAAAAAGACAGACGAGCTTTGTGCAAATAATGTTGTGCTCGAATGAAACTTGCAGCTGCCATTCTGATTGACGACAAGGACTGTTGTTGGTCGTCAGAGTGTGTTTCTTCTGAATCTTCATGTAGTACAAACCAGCCTGGGACCACGTGGACACCGCGGGCCCCATATGGATCTCAGCTGGTGCTTTTGCCATCTTTTGCCCTCACAACTCCGCAAGGTGATACTGCGACTGCGATCCTGCTGCCGAAAGTGGTGGATGCTGTACGTGGGAAAATGTCACCACTGACAGGAAAGCCTGTTCAAGTCGCCGGAGCCTTAGACCCCGGAGGCCTATAGCAGACGGGCTTAGCAGAATCCGAGGGCGGTGAAAAGTAGGGCGCAGAAGGATGCGGAAGGGATACATGTTATAAATAAATGTCTCCTCCCTCAGACAAGAAAGTGGAAGCTGAGTAGACCCACCTTGTACTTGGAGAGGAGCTCATGGTCTTCCAGGGGCCGACCTGTTCCACTTCCGTGATTGTTTCTGGGAGTGTAAAGCAATTGGTTTCTGTAACTACCACCTCCGAACTCAAGTGTGGATTTGGACAAAGAAAACTCCGTCCGTGCACTCCTTGCGAACCGGGAACCCCGCCCACATCTCGTGTTTTTTTTGGCGTCGCTCCGGTCAGCAGTCCCAGTCCCGGTCCAGGTTGGTGCCGGCGGCATCTTCGATGGGCGTGGCCTGGCGGCCTGTTTGGCCATGGGCTGCAGCGGCGTGTGGGTTGGCACACGCCACTGGGCCAAACGGGAGTGCTCGCGCTCGTTTGGGAGCCGGGAGCCAGCTTCCTTTGAGTTTGGGGCGGCGTTGGTGTTTTTTTGAGTTATTTGTGGTGGAGAAGATGTGTTCGGATGACAAAAGAAGCGTTGGATTATTTGATTAAAATTGTTGGAATCTTCGATGATGGGACTTAAATTCGCCGAATCATTCGACCTGCAGCTCAGCAACCCACCGCCGGCGAACATTCAAAGAGCTGGCGGCTGGCGGGTTGTTTTTGACGTTACATGTTCTTCAATCAAACGGCTCCCCAAACGGCCTCGACGACTCTCGCACCATTTGCATGGCCGTTTTGACTCGTTTGAACCTGTTAGCCTGTTTGCTCAAAGCTTCCTTGCTCCTAGTAGCAATGCCAGGAGCCCCTAGTAGCGTCCTTGCTCCTAGTAGTGCCTGTTTGCTCAAAGCTTGGAAGCTTTGGTTTTACATGTTTCTAGTCCAAGGCTTCATTGCTTCTGATGAAGCTGGCGCTGGGCCATTCCATAAGCAGAGGGTCCTCAGCGCCGGTTATGCGGACACCGTCCGAACCACGATCTACACAGGGCGCCCCATGCGACGCTTGGACTTACCGAAAAGGAGCTTTGCTTGTGTAACGAGAGACTGAAAAAATAGGGAGCCCGTGCAAAAATAACTCCCTTTTCCCCGGACTCAAAAAGGTATGACTCATCCAGCAGAATTTAAGGTAGAATTTAAGGTTTGACAGGCAAATTTTAACGCAACCCGTGTGCACCTTCCAGTGGCTCCTGCGATGTTGATCCATCACTGCAGTGATCGTCCAAGGAGTTTTGACCACCCCATACGTCCAAGACTGGGAGCAAAATCGTACCAAAGAGATGTTGCAGTTGCAGGACACAAAAGCAATTTGCTGGATTGACTGTCATGCGGTTCGATCTTGATTGGATCATGTGGTTCGACTGTTCCTGAAACACAGAATCTGCTTGAACTCGAGCCCTTGGTGTTGTCTTGCTTGGCAGGAGCAAGGCATCCCAGCCTTCGTGAAAGATGTGGACGACATCAGCAGCCTTACCGAGGGCGGCTTCAGTGTCGGCACCCTGCAAATGGCAGAAGTTCTCACGCAGGAGGACCTTGTTTTCACAAGCAAGCAAATTCCAAACATATTCCAACAAGCGCCATTGGATTGCAATGGTACTCGCAACATGCTGGCAGACACTCATAGTTGGTTTGTTTCGTGTGTTGCCTTCATTATGTTTCCTGCTGCCTGCTTGTCATATGAATGATGCAGGAGAAGAATAAAGGAGTGCAGCAGCTTGTCATGCAGCCTGAAATTGCACAAACGAAAGTAATGGCCAGTCTTCGGAAGCCCAGTACGACCAGTCAATGTGTACATCCCTTTGGATGTCCAAGCTTCCAGGTAGGTTAAACAATGTTAAACATATAGTGGGACAATGAGTTGGACAGCAGAGTCATGCAGAGTCGCCCCAGCTCCTTCGCTTGCGGAACACCGCCTCACAGGCTCTCTCGGAAACAGACGCGTGAGCGTGGCGTCTACCTGTCTGGTCAGTGCGCCGGTGCCATTGAGGACCGTGTTCGGCCAGTGGAGCAGTGGCGAAAGAGGAACACCTAGAAAGTAGGTCAGTCAACAAAACGGAAGAGGCTTTATAAGAGGTTGATGAAAGATGGTCATAAAGACACCCACTTACCCACTTTACAGCGGAACTGCCCGGCAAAGCGGCTTGAAAAAGCATTGCTTCTGAAAGAAGCAGTTGCCATCAGCGGTTTGTTCTGCAAGAGCGAAGGTGCACGTCGGCGTGTGCCGTTGCAGTGGGTTTCGGGTTCCGTGGGCTGGGTTTCGGCGCAAACTACCTGGTTGGCAGATGCTGCGACCTTGTCGGACTCTCGATGCGTGCCTTCGACTTTGTCGCCAGACACGGAAAATCCCCTTGCCGCGGGCGTTCGGCGTGGGGTTTTCGGTTGCGAGATCTCAAGCTTCAAATCAGCAAAGGCTTGATACACAGCTGGTTGGGATTCTTGAGGATCTTCATGGACACTGGGAAGACGCACTTGGGCAGTGTGCACTGCTGCAAGCGACAGTGGTTTGGCGTTGTCGGCTTTGATTGAACTTTGAGCTCACCATTGGTGGCAGTGTGGAAGCGTGGATCTGTGACAGTGTCCCTATCAGTCCTTCTCCATCTACGGAAGGCTGTGACAGCCTGGGTGAAATGTCTTTTTTTGTTGCTGGTTTAAAGTTTATACGTTGATTTATTGTCAGTGATTGCTTGGTCCTGTACCGTAGCGAGATCGCATTCGGGCGCTGGTTTGTCAAAGGGCACATCGTGCTGCTGTTGCAAGTGGGTGGTCCCAGGCGAGTCTGCTTCTGGTACAGATGGAATCTGTGGTGCACAAGCACAGCTTGTAGATTCGTGTCCTTGTGGCGTCCTTGTGTCCTTGTGCATTTGAAGAGTCTGAAGCTTCGAAGACGTTAGTGACAAGGACTCTGAAAGTCTCCATGCAGCTAGACTTCTCAGGGTCGGACAGCTAGACTCTTCGTCCGCGCTTCGGCACCTATCAGCTGAACTGGTGGCCCTGAACTGTCCATGAACTGTAATTACATGTGATTACACGTGGAATCGCGCATGGTGCAACTATGCTGGGTGAAGAGGATGCTTGTTTGGTCGCTTGTGGCGGCCGGATGCTACGTTGCATACTGGTTACCTGTTGCAGGGTCTGGGTTCTGTCAGTGTAGGCACAATGGCTGGTGTGGGGCCGCCACAACGAGCTACACTGGTTGGTAGGGTTGGGGGCATGGGTGCCCATAAGCTTTGATTTGGAGGCATGCTCTCCTGCGAATAAATTGGTGCCGGTCAGCTTCGCTTGGTTACCTTTGAGCTTTGAAGTGGCACTTGCACAGAGTTTAGGGTGTTGGGGGGGTCTTCTGCGCATGTTCTTCAGTTTCGCAGGATGGTAGCCCTGTTGTCGGCGTTTTGTGGGGCGCCAAGGCGCTTTGGGTCGTGGTGATCCCCAGCTGCACAGTTTCAGCTTGTGTGCAAGAAAGCAGTTTGTCAGCGCTTTGCATCCTTCTATAGAACTATATATATAATATAGTTATAAGTTATAAGTATGTTATATAAGTTATAACATGTTATAACTATATTTTGCTGTTCCTTCATGTTGGGCGGCACGCAGTGGCAGAAGGAGAGATTCGACATTTGAGCTTTAGAGCATGACGGTGCAGATGTATTTGCCCAAACCATGGCGTTCATGTTCGAGCGCTGTGATGCGAAGACCAAACCCCGGCGTCCCTTGAGCTGTGGTTTGAAAACTGGTTCCCGCGCAAGTGCCTAGGCCTAGTCCGACACAACTGTACGAGGTTGGTGGAAGCAGACTGCCTCCCGCCGCGCGGGTTTGGGCCCACGCCCCTGGTTTCAAGTGTCGCACCAAACAAAAATGGCCGATGCCACAATGAAGTGCTTTTCGCGCGCTGTGCACGGTGCATTGCGGAAGACGTGTGTGTGTGTGTGTGCTGCCAGTAGGAGGTGTTTTGGGAGGTGTCCTCACTCTAGCACTGTAGTGATTCGTGGTCTCACAGTTGTGGGTTGAATGCGTTGAAATCCAATGGACGTGCGGAGAACCCAGTGTGAAGATGTGTGAAGTGAGGATGTGTGGGAACCCTCCCAAAGTTGAAACACTGTTGACCATCTGAAGTGGAAAGTCTTGGTTTTTGTCAGGACATCAAGCCAGCTGGGCAGATCGTGGAAGAGATGGTGCAGCAAGCAGCGGAGCAGCTCCAGACAGTTCGCACCTGAGGAGTTTGACCACTCAAGTCACGGGTCTTTTCGATTTCATCATACCCCGGTGTGGGGTCCGCACATTTTTTGCATGAGAGTGGTATGGTAGAAAGAAATGTGCGTTTGTTTCTTCAAGTTACAGACTTTGCACCTGCAGCTTTGATGAATAGGAACCACTTTAAAGACCTGCCAAACTTGGTATTCTCTCAGATGCTACCCCTCCGAGCCTCTTTACTCTGCGTTGAGAAGGCATCTCCGAAATGCTGCTCTCGACTGCTCCATTTGGCCGGCCACTTCTTGTGGCCATCAAGTGCTTTGTCGCCACGGGCATCACGCAGCCTGCGATCCCATCGCACTCCGTCTTCCTGACAGCTTTTCAGTTGGGGTCCAGTGTGCAGGAGCTTTCTAGAAAGGGAGGATCGAGGAGTCGAACTCGGCTCGGCTCGGCGTGTTCGCCCAAAGTGTTCGACGCTCAGCTCAGTGAATCCCAAGAATCGAACCACGCGACCTTGTCCAAGGCTTGAGATCGCAGACTTGCCAATTGTTCTATCTAGTCTCCAATATGCAACATCCAGGCAGAGCCAGGCGCCAAGCGGCAACTCAGGTGCTGGCCCAGATTGGCCGATTTCGGGGAGAGGATGCTGAGAATATGAGACATCCACGAAAAGTCCAAGTCCACGAGAATTCTGCCACCGCTTCTATGCTGGACGTTGACTCACGGACCCCTGCCTCGCTCCTGCCTTCTCACTGTTCTTGGGCACGGTTGCCCGATGTTCATAGATATGTGATAAACAGGATGTATATAGTAAACAGGATATAACAGAATAACAGGATGTCTATAGCGAGGCTACAGCCATTTCCACATCCCTTGTCCTTGGCAGTGTTTGACTTGAGGCCAACAAGTTCCTTGCTGCGAAGCTGTAATGGATGCCCCAATGAGGAAGGCCCTCCAGGGTCTTCCTTGGGCTGGTGGAAGCTTTCAAGGTCCACTCGATGCCCTGGGCCTGGTGAGGTTGGGCCGTTGGGCCCAGGTCAACCCATTTTGCTTATCTGAGAAAAGACACTTGAAGTGGATAGTATCTCAGAGCCATGGCAAGAGGCCAATGGCAGAGACTTGCCTGTTCACCGGCGAAAAAGGCACGGTCTGGGCAGGCGATGGCATGTGAAGACCCATTGACTTTAAGCTGTGCAAGTTTGGGGAGAGCATTCATTGCATGGAGGCAAAGAAAGGTGAGGTATGTGTTATCTATGGGTTATCTCTACAATTTTCAGATATTCATGGATGTGTTTCCTGTGTTCTCTTATCGTGCAATCCCGCAACCCGATCGAAAAGTGACGCTGCAGGACTTCATGATTCAGGGTGGCGATTTTACCAAAGGTGATGGCACTGGGGGCAAGTCTATTTACGGTCGCCGGCTTGTGAAACATGATTGACCACGAGGAATTGTTTGACTCGGCTCGAATCATACAGGTCAACTTGAAGAATCTGCCAAGGTGATAAGTTTGCTGACGAAAACTTCAAGCTGAAGCACAAGCGCGGGGGCCTTCTCTCGATGGCCAACGCTGGCAAGGAGCAGTGAAATAAGATGAAAGAAGTCAACAGATGGACAAAATCACGGGCTTGGGATGCCAATCCGATCAATGCGGTCCCACCTTCTCAATTTCATGGTGCATGGCTTCGTGATTGCTCCAGTCTCGGGTCCCAAAAGCGGGGCAAGAATCTGGAGATGCAGGACACCAATGGCAGCCAGTTCTTCATCACCACGGTTTCCACTCCACACCTGGATGGCTTGGGACCCCTGAAAAAGCGCGACGCCTGACGCAGTGCGCTTCTGCGTCGTGCACTGCGTGTGGTGGTGAAGCCATTAAGAACTTGGGAAAAAGCGATGGAGACTTGGGTGGGTGAAACCGGGGAGTTTGACACCAGTGCCAGTGTGGCACATGTTCCCACATGTTCCTCTTCTCAGGAGTTGCTTACAAACTTATCGTTTTAGGAGAAGATAGAATGGGGCATGAAGGGGCCCAATGAAACCCATTCGTTTCAGGAGTGCCCCCTTGTGACAACAAGCCCATGAGTCGGCAGACCACTCGCAACCGAGCAACGGGACTCGCTTCCGTGACTCGTCCCTCCGGTGTGGTGAGGCCGGCATGTGGTCTTCGGGACGGTGCTGGAAGGCATGAAATTCGTGCGCCAGATCGAGGGTCAGAACGGCACCCCGCCCAAGGAGGAGCCCAGGGATTGGAAGCAAACGGAAGAAACGAAAAGGTGTCTCCTGTGACTGTGCGAACGGAACTGCTGATGGTTAAAGTTGGTTAAAGAATGTTAAAGACAATCGTTTAAAAAGTAAACATGTCTTCCATATTGAGGGGACATGCTTTTGGTTTGCCCTCTTAGATCATCAAAGGCCTATGTAGCCTATGAATTCATTTTCTGGCAAACCTGGGTCCTTGTGAGATTTGAAAAAGTTGCGTATAATTCTTGGATTTGAAAAGGTGGTGTTTTTCACGGCAGGAATGTAAGATTGAGGATTCTGGAGAGCTGCCTTTGGAGAAGCCCTACAAGGACGGCCAGACTTCACGGCCTTTGCTTGCTTTGCTTCTCATCGACTTGCTCGGCACCTTCCAGGATGCCACCTATCGGGGGAAATTGGACGAGGAGCTGTAGGAAAATGAGCGGAGCTCATCGAAGGGACCAGTTGAAGCAGTGGATCTCACCCCACAAGTGGATTGGGACATCGATGGATGTTATTCATGCGCGGTTGCAGCTTTTGAAGATCCCGGACAGCTTCAAATTCAAGCAATAAAGCTTGGCTACTCGTAGTAGGGTGTTGCACCTAAAGACTCACGCGCGAGCGGTGTTTCCAAGAAAAGAGACCGTTGGCGTGTCTTTCCCTTCAATCCAGCCTGCAAGAGGATCCAGCAACAAAGCTGGCACGCTCGCCAGGTCACAAATCCTGCATCTCAGATTTCAGCAGCAGGTGCACTCAGAGAATGTGTTCACTGCAGCTTGATAATTAATGATAATTAGTAGTGCTTTGAATCAAGAATAGCTTTTCTGGTCCCCAAGAATGGCTTCCCTTGCTTACTTCAAGGGGAGGACTGTTGATCGAAAGGCAATTACTCCGTCATACTCCGAAAGTCTTCAACTCGATCCGGAAGGCTTCTAGGCGACACATCTATTGAATCTATTGAGTCGACATGGTGCACGGGCCACATGACAGGCGACACGTCGACATCATGGTGGTGATCCGACGACACCGGCCTCGCGCGACGCTGCCCCCGGGACGACACCGGCGGCCCGACAGGCCAATGACCCGTCATGGGAGACTGAAGCCCTCACGAAAAGAGAGCTTAGCTGCATGCGCCTGCAGACTGACCAGACACTGGTGACGAGATGGCTGAAGTGTGATGAGATGTGTGTCCTATCCATTCAGAACCGGAATAAGTATTTCTAGTAGTTAATCATATATGTTTAAGTATGCTTAAGTACAGAGAAAGATACATGATCATTTCGTTCACGCTTCGACTGTTCCGGCCCCCAGAGCTCAGTCAGGGCCTTAGCTTGGGGCTTGGAGAATCAACGTCAGCTACGTGGAGCTTGGTGCTGAGCAGATTGTGAGCCACCGCAGCCAATGGCCCAAGTGAGGGGCGAAAGCTGCAAAGGACAGTATGGTGCGAGGCTAAGCCTCAAAGCGCTGCAAGCATTCAGGAAATGCCGGAGATGTGCTTTTTCCATTGCAAGACCGGATTTGGGGACTCTAGAAAGCAAACAGACGTCCCAGACGGGTTCACAAATGTGCGACTGTGTCCCGAAGAATGTGAAGCGTTCTTTGTTACGTTTGGGACCCTTTGTTACGTCTACCATGAAGCATTTGTTTTGGAAGATCTTAAAGACCGACAGCGAGGTCTTCGCGGTTGCGTCATCAACCTACTATCCTTACAGGTAGTCATGTCAGTTTTGAAAGCATTCAGCTTGTCGGTGGGCGGATGTGTTGCGGCTTCTGTTGTGGGGCTTCGGTTGTTGAGCTACCGACCCTTGGTTCAAGTGTGCAGAGGTCACAGCTGTAGTCAGTTGGTCGTTGTTTTATAGAGATGTTACGGATCCTTATTGGTTCTCAAAAACCCTTGATCTGGGGTGACACAGTGACACCATGGCAGGTGGCAAAAGATTTCGGTGGTCGGAAGATCGGTTCAAACGAACAAAAAGCATCATCGGTGCTGCTGCTGTCGTTGAAGTTCCTGCTACGTGGCCAGGTGGTGTGATTCATGGCTTCCTGGCTTCGTAGCTGTGCTTCCGCACTGCGGCGCCTCCCCCGAAGGGGCATCGAGGTGGGGTCGTTTTCAGGTCACAGAGAATATGATGCCTCTTCATCGAAGGATTTGATGTTTGACCATCCAAGATTATGGGTTTTTAGGCTCACTTGACAATGTTTTACCAAACATTATCTCGCTTTTAGATTGAAGATTGGTCCCTTGTGTCCAAGCAATCAAGGCCCGCAAACGTGTTTGCCTCCTCCATGAGGAATTCTGGCAAGGGGGCGTGCGAGATCCGCTCATCAATGCCGCGCAGAAGCAGGATGGTGCCTGGCGGCCACGACTTTCTTCATTCTTCTTTGATTGTTTGAGGGTCGACGCACAAGCAAGTCACAGCCAGTGGGGAAGGAAGTTGAGGAAGTGGTAGAGAGTGATCCACTTCCAGGAGTGGGCCAAATCTGGCGATCCATGGCCAGCAGTGCTACTGCGTCAGAAGTCTTTTGAGGCGAGCCGTGAACTGCTCGATGGACGCTTTGATTGCCAGATGTCACCTCGATATGTCAAGAATGCCGATGGATGAAGAGTGTGATGTCATCATGCCATATCATGCCCCTCTCAGGATATGCACAAGCTTTGGTATGTCCTCCTCAAGGACCTTGCGGTCACGCACGGATATATAACTTGTTGTTGTCAAATTGACTTCATGGACCCCAGGAGAAAAACTTCTTGCTTGCCGAGCAGCACGAGGTTGCAACACAAATGTGCAGATGGAAACAGATTTGGGCAGATGTATGAAGGAGCCAGTCCAAACACCGGGTATTTTACAGTTTTACGCCGTTGATGTGTTTGTTCCCAGGTTGTCTTTGGGGGGTCTATTTCACCCCTGTGTCACTCAAACAGTGCCATCTGACAAGCTACTGGCCAGGCAAGGCAGAATCGGGTTCGATGGAAACATCATGGCCGTCTCAAGAAGGTCTGCTCCTTAGACAAGGGAAAGGCAAAACAGCAGACTAACTGCGGAGGTAGACCTACATGGCATGTTGCTTCGAAAGGATGTGTCGAATGGGAAAACAAGGCTTCAATGTTTGTGTGCTTGCAGAAAGAAGTAGGTTGACTTGTCTTGTAAGACATGATACTAAAGCACTGTGGAGAATAAGAAGGCTCTTTTTGCTATGTCATGCAGCGTCATGTCATGCGCTTTCTCCAACGAGCTACCTGGAGCACCGACCCAAATTTGGCATGGAGCTTCCGACATACTGCTTGGAGAACTTGAGAGCCACGCTAAACTCAGGTTTTCGTGGTTGCCCCATGGGTAGGTTAATAGATGTTAAATACTCAACATATGTCAACATGACATGTTTAATGTATATATAGATCTATACCCACAACACAATAGAATGAGTAAAATACGACGCTATCCACGAATCATTTTATGTTGTGCCATGTAGTTCTGCCTCATGAACTGCCTTTACAGAAGCTTCCAAGGATGACGTTTGAAAGATTGAGGTTTCGAAGCAGTCTCTATACCGACTGCTGTCCATAGAAAAATCGAGATGGTCCGCACTCCACCTGCACGTGTCAGGTGTTCGATCCGTACGAATTCGCGAATTCGTCAGGTCAAACTCTCCATGAAGCGCATTCTTACGGTGCTCACGCGTCGCGAGATCCATCAGCAGGCGCCATATCCAAGAGACAGACAGGAGGAGGTCGGTGGTTCAATGGTGACGCGGACACAGGAGATCCATCAGCAGGAGACGCAAACAGGAGGAGAAAGGAGGGCATTGGATGTTCTTTGAGCTTGAGCTTGGTGAGGTAGTAAACCATATAGATCCATATAGTATAGTCCATTTGGAATGTGTGTGGTATTAGTTAGGCTTGAACTTGGAGCATCGGTATGGGTTTGTTTGTGTCGCAATGAAGTCTTGAAGACTGCCAAGGAGAGCCCCTCCTCCCCCTGTGCGACATGTTGCGCCTGGAAGTTGTTTGAGAACAAAGTCCTCATCCAAACATGTCCAGCAAACATTCTCAAGTCACATTGGCAATTCTTTGGTTGGAAAAAGTAAGAACTCACCCACCAGAACAGAATAGAACATGCTACAATTGAATTGTAATGAGGCTCAAAGAATATCCTAGGCTTGACCTTGTCGACCCTTTCAAGCTTGGTTTTATGATGTTTTATTCCCAAAGTCTTTTGTACCTTTATTTGAAGCCTTTTCCAACCTACCCAGCCACCATTTCCACCCAAAACAGGCTCGCTCGGAAAACCACCCCTCCTCCGCGGTGTCAGGTGCTCCGGTCCAAAGAGATGCTACTGCAGCAGACGCAGCGAGAAGAGTTGGAGACGCAACGCTTCCAGCTGGAAGAGTCCATGAAGGGCCTCCGATGGAAGGAGAGCAGCGATCCAACGCGCCGGAGCACCGCGCGCGGAACCTTCCGCGGTTCCGCGGAGGAAACAGATCGAAATAGGGATAAGCATGGAAAAGCCACCGGAAAGCACCGGTTCCGGGGGGGGAAGAATTAGGGAGATGGCGACCTGGGAGGTCAACCTACCAGAGAGGGCTTCGGCTTTCGCCGCGGAAGCGAAGGGGGACGGAGTGGGAGAGAGATGGGAACTCAGGTCTTAGAAAAATGATGAAAAATGTGTCTTTGGATGTGACGGGAGAAGGATCCACTTTTGGGGATCCGTGCCCTAAAGGGCATACGACTTTGATGCACTTTCGAAGCAGAGGAGTGGTGTAGTGAGCATCCAATATAAGCCAATGAGAATCCACATTTGGGCATCGAGGCACGCCATGATATGCTATGCATTATTTATGGCTTTATACTATATGATTGTAAAACATTGTAAAACCTTTTTCTCAACTCAAAAACTCCCATGTGAACAGGTGCCTGACAAACGCATACAAACCCTATAGTAGCTTCTTTTGATAAGACTCAATAAGAACACTGACCACTGGGGTCACTTCTGTCACACCATCCGGGTGGCTGGGTATTCTTGTCTGCGAAGATACGCCGAGCGGAGCCCCGAGATTCCATGGCGACCCAAGCGTGGAAGGCGTGGACGAGACGCCCGGTGGCGGGGTGACGAGGACGTGGCGCCGAAAAGCAAGCCGAGTGGCTGCGGGTCGGTCGGTCGGGGGGGATTTTGGGGGCTGCGGGGGTCGGTGTTCGAAATCTGCAAGGTCGAAACGTCCAGATTTATGTTTTCATATATTATTTGTTCAACGTCGGCAATGGTCCTTTTTCGATGGAATGTCGGCAGTGTCCTTGTGCATCTCCGCAAGCTGTGGCTTGTATGCTGTCATGTGAGGTTTGAACGTTGTTTGAGCATTCTTGACATGTCCTGTCCAAAGGCCACCCTGCAGAAGTACGAGGCGTGGCTTCCCACATCAATGCATGCACTAGCCTGTGCCAGTTGGGGGTTAGGTGCATCCCTCAGAGCGCAGATAGGCCTGCCGAGAAGCACGAAAGCGCGGCAATCGGGTAAACGTACCTAGAAAGAATCGAGACAAACTTAGGAACAAAAGCAAAATGCTGCACAAGGTGCCTAACTAAAAGAAACTCGTTGGTCTATCTCGCACACAGCAATCTAGAATTTAGATGAAGTTAGCCAGCAAGTGGCTAGCCACAGCCAACCAAACTACTGGTACCCAGATTTGGCAGTGACCTGCGGCTGCCGGGCCTTCCAACTTGAGAAAATGTTCTGTTCAAGAGCCTGGCGTTTTGCGAACCGCTCCAGCTTTGTAAATGTACAACACACGAAGTGTCTCTCTAGAAGACAGTTCGGATGGGAAGAAGCCTAATATTGATGTCAGAGTTAAAACAGGAACGGGGGGACCAATTAAAGTATTCCTAGTGGCAGGTCGAAGGATATGGGACAGAAATCTCCTTAGTTTCTGGCCTAAGAGGAGAGTTGCCATGTGGCTGCAGCTGGCGGAAAGAAAAGGTTCCGTCAAGTGTTTAATCCAATGAGACTGCCCGCTTGATGGGAGGAAAAACTGGGCGAAACAACAGCAAGTGGCGGGCCAAACAACCAAACAGCTCCACAGGCTAGGTGAAGGTCAATGCAGTCGGCCCAGAAGCAACTCCTCCAAACTTCAGAATGATCCAGATATGGCAGTGTGTCCAGGGGGACCCCGGTTGACCAGCACAAACAGACTTGCCCTTTCAGGGTTACCGGGGTGTTTGGTACGGAAGAGATCATGAAAGTACCAACACGCAAACCTCACACACCTGGATCAGATTGCAAATGCAACGACAACAAAAGAAGAGAGAGAGAGAGAGCGAGAGAGAGAGAGAGACCACCACCGGACCACTAGCATCGCGCACTGCACGGGACAAACAAATGCGAGGAACTATGCACCACAATGAACAGAATAGTCAACAGAATAGATCACCAAGGTCATCCTACCAGGGTTGGAAGCTCCAGGTTTTTTGATCACTGCCATGTTGGTCCAACAGCTTTTATGCAACGCTTGAGTCAAAAGGCTTCCAGGCTTCCACACTGCCCAGCGACACTGTCCAAAGCTCCCGTTGGAGGCGGATCACGAGCGTTTGCTGAGGGAGCTGGTGCCATTGAGAAGAGACACCATGCAGTCGCCGGCTTGGCGGGCAAAGAAACAGGAAATTCCAGATGGGCGAGGGCCAATGAGTTGGCTTAACAAACTGGGTTGAATGTCAGCCCAGCCCAACTCTCCAAGATGTTGGATGTGTACAGCACTGGTGAAGCAAAGATCACTTCTTCACAGTCTTCTGCATAGAGACTTATCAATGATCAATGCATAACTTGCTGTGTCTCATGGTTGCGATGACTGTTTGAGGCTGCTTTCACCTGACTGGAGGTGGGCTGCAAAACGAGAATAAAGAGAAAAAATGAGTAGGACATACCCAGTCAGTGGATAACCTTTGAGCTTGATTGATCTTTTTGGGGGGAGTGGTTTCCCCATTAAACAAGAGCAGGGAGAAAAAGCTTAACCTTTACTTTCCAGAGAAACTGAAGGAGTCAGAGGATGAGATCACCTGCAAGAGAAGACCGGAAGAGACGGGCACCAACTTGCTCAGATCTAAAGCTGCCAACCGTCAACGGTCAGGTTTGCGCGCAAGTACTCGGATCTACCTGGAGCCATCAATTGGAAGAGGCAGTGGGTTCGAGCCTTGGAGGACCGAAGATTCCACCATTGTTCCATGGTGAAAAGGTTGAACATCCAAGCACTTGCCAGAAAACACCCATCCCCCTGACCATGAAGATGGACATAGTTGCATGGTGAATGACATTGTTCTCAATGTCTGGTTTTGAGCAAGACATCGTTTTGCAGAGGCAATTGTGCATGTATTTCTATGCCTGCTGCGTATATAGTGTCCTAACATTCCGAAGTAACTGAAAAATCAGTCAAATCTTCAATCCATGAAAGACTGGTGGGACCTCCTAGTACCACCTCCGCCAAGCCATTTCTTTGTTTGTCGGGCGTCAAAAAGGGCAAGATCGATCGACCAGCAGCCAGCAGGATCGCCAGTGGAAGCCCGTTAGACTACCAGCCTAGCGGAAAAAAGAGAGGCTTCCGAAAACGACGGTGGCGAAGGGAGGCTTGCTGCTGCTGCTGCTGCCGCCGCCACTTTTGTTACTGTTTGGATCTTGGAGATTGAGTTGGATAGGTGCGCCACCGCCAATGCCGCTGGCAGTTTGAGCTTTTGCAGCAGAGAGCTGATGCACAAAAATGTGCAACATCCCATCATCAACATCGACTTGGGAGCTTGGGCTGATTCTGTTGAGCGTTGGCTTTAAAATTTAAACTTGAACAGGCTATTAAATCGTTCTCACTGGGTTGACTACACCTATGACCAGTGAGAAGAAATCTGGTCCTCAGACTCAGACCAGCAGAATCAGATCTTCAGGCTGCCGCCCGTCAATCCAATCCCTTGAAGCCGATAGTATGGCCACAGCATGCACATGAACAATGGCAGTGGAAATGGCGGCCGGAAGCCCAGAACATTGGTAGAGCCGGTGGAGGGAACCTTTTGTGGATGTGACAATTGCCCCGTTCGCAGCGTTCTTGCTCCGTTCGTAGCGATGCCATTTGTTCCTAGTAGCTTCTTGTTACTAGTAGCGATGCCAGGAGCCCCTAGTAGCTTCTTGCTCCTAGTGACTCCTAGTGGTTGTCCATGGTTGTCCAGTATCCATTTTGCTAGAGATCCCTGCGTGCAACTTCCCTAAGACGCACGCTGTAGGCCAATGAGTTGGTGCTAAATTCCTTTGTGCCATAGCTTGGCTTCAAAAGATCTTCCTCTACTGCGGGGCACTTTGTCATCAACTTGTAAAAATCCTCCTTGGTCGTTTGGAATCACATTGAACATCCCAAGGCAAATCAACCAAAACCTCAGTGAGTTCCCCAAAGTTCCCCCTATTCCTCACGTTTTTTCGATCTCCGGTTTCGATCTCCACGTCGTCCCCGCGCGTGGTTTCGATCTCCGCGCGTCCAAAAAAGGCACCCACGAGCTCTCTGCCCGCATCGCGGCCATCGCCGCAGCGTCGAAGGCCCGGTCGCAGGCCGAGGGAACCGGGAGAGACGAAGCAGAACCGGAAGGAACCGGAGGAGCTTTGTGGAGAACTGGGCGGTGCTTCGTTCTTCGCATGTTGAGCCTGCATGGCTTTTGCGCCTTGCGTGGCGGTGCGTGCTGGTTCACCAGTGCGGACGCATCCGGTATTTGCCATCGAGTTGCTGGAGCGGTTCAAAAGGACAAATTACTAGGGGCATCGCTACGAACGGAGCAAGGACGCTACTAGTAGCTCCTGGCCAAGCTACGAGTAACCGATGTCAGGAAACTGTTCTTCCCTTTTTGCTGAACGCGCTGGAAAACCACGGATCTTCGTTCGCCAAGCTTGTTTTTGCGGACGTCGCGGGACCTCGCTGCTGGAGGCTGGGGAAGCCATTCTGGGAAATACTCTTGGAAGTTCCAAGGCGTGGGCGTGACGCGACGTCAGATAGGGAAGGTGGGCGAAGAAAGCTTCGCTTTGGTCGACTGGTCCGACGATTTGGTGCAGTGGCCGTGTGTTCGTCCACACATGGTGACACCTGGTGGCTTTGGACTGGACTCATGTCTCCAAAGTCAAGGAAGCCGATGGAAGCCGTCGAATTGGCCGGCGAAGAGGAAGCCAACAAGTGTTAGACAACAATTCATGTTCCACTTATCACCTCAGCAGTTACAGAGAACAAGAGGCCTTCTTGCAGATACTTGCAGTTCTTTTGTGCAATTCTCAACCGTCCCGGACAGCTCCTGTAAGGGCTATACGCACAGTATTGTTACATGTGATTGCAGGACTCCAAATCCACTAAGTCCTCCTACAGAAGAGTGGCCCTTTAAAACGCGATTATATGTTCAATTATGTATATATTATATACTGGTAGAACTGCCAGCACCCTCCAACAGGTCACCCACCACCTACCACTTTTACGTCTGCAAAAGTCACCATTTCGGAGACCTGTTCTTCTCTTGAACCAGCCTTCAACCAGCCTCCAGGAATCTGCGGGGAGGCCCCGCCACGCACAGGTGTCCGCTGCTTCCTCAGTTCATCAAAAGGTTAGACAGGGGAGACGATGAGTTTGGTTTCTGAGGATTCTGAGGATGAGATGGAAGAGCTCTGTGCCCAAGATATTGATCGAGGGCAAGAACTTGCAGAAGAAGCAGCTTCTGATGAGGCATGGAGAAGCACAGCTTTGTGCTCTCAGCTTATATGACTCGATACTGCTGTCAACTTGTGTTCTACTTTTGCAAGTGGAGCTTTGTCCAGTGCCGAAGGCAGAAGAGGAATCAGAGTCAGAGGGATCCCGATCACAGCTGCCCGGCTCAGTTATACAAGCACAGCACAGCAAGTTGAGGAGCAGGCAGGCAGAGCACGGCCAAGCAGTGAGTCCATTGTGAAAGGTGTTCAGCTTCTCTTTCTGAAGATGACTGGAGCCCTGTTGTGGGAGCCAAGATTGAGAGACTCGGTCCAAGTAGCACTAGAAGGATGAGATGAGTTGAGAAGATTGATGGAGAACTGCTCATCTCATTGTGTTCATTGATGCTTTGAGCAAGATTGACAGGAAAACATGAAGGTAAAGGGTCCTTTTAATAGGGTCCCCTTCAAATTGGCCAGGCCCTTAGGCCCTTACCTTCTTTCTTTCATATCTTCCTGCCTGCAGTCTCGTGGGCCCCATGGCAGCCGCCCGGCCCAGGGGGACCAACGAGACTGCACTGATCCTTGAACGGCTGATCTTAACAACAGGCCCCACACGAAGTTCGCGCGAAGCTCGCGCGTCCAGGGATCGCTCCCAAGGAGCGATCCGATGAATTTTTGGGACCGGGGGGAAAGAACGTGCGTTGGAACACGTGCACAGCGTGGGAAACATGCGTGGAAACGTCAGATAAAGACCCCTCCTGGTAGCTCGAATGTTCGAGTGCCGTTTGCCATGATGTTCTTTCACTAGTGTCTTGTACACAACACTGCCATGTTAAATACAGCCTGTGTAGCTTCATCCAAAGTGCTCGTTCTGGAGCTGCGCGTTTGGTTGCTTCCGGTTTCACAACTGTTGCATTTAAATGCATTTCCCTAGTGTCTTCGCTCTGAGCCAGCCAATCGCCTGCACAAACTCAAGAACAAAGCAAGGATTTAGAGTCAATTTAGAGTTTAGTTTGAGATGTTTAGAGTGTGTTTGGAGGTCTTCAACGGTCATATACAGTCATTCATAATCATTAGTACTTCAGCCCCATCTCTTTCAGCCCTAAACCCTGCACCGTGCCAGGGGTTCCGTTCCTCGTCAACCTCGTCCCGTCGACCTCGTGGACTCGAGGCTTTGGCCAGACCGACAAGCCGGCGGTTGAGCAGCTCTTGCTGCGAGTGCGCAGCGCCAGGTTTTGGGTTCAGGTGGTGCGCTCCTCAGGCGTTTGCCGGACGTGAAAAGGACGGAGATTGGGTGACTGGGCTGACTGGGCAAACCCAAATGCTCCTTTGTGCGGGTGGGCGGGAGACAAATCTCTTGGCAGAAAACACGGTGACCCAGATCATTGTGGGTCATTTTGTTGGGCAAGTATGGGCAAGTGGATGCAACTGGCAAAATGTTTTGTGGGCCTTAGAATCGCAAGCGTTCATGTGGACGGTTGGCCTTCTCCTGTCTTCGTGTGCCGGCTAATGTGGTTTTGGAGCTGGAATTTTGTGTGGCTAATAGCGTGCTGCAACTGACCCGTGTTCAAGACAATTATGAACCATTGAGAATTGATAATGTCAAGTGGGCGATCCAGGTGAAGCAAGTGCGGGCTCCAGCACGCCGCGTGCTGACGGCCAGCCTGAACTCAGCGAATGTGCCACTGCCACCTGCCAACCCCATGTGCTTGGGCTCAGAGAATCGCGGAAGTGCCGCATGATGCGATGTTCGATGGCTTCACGTTTCACGCCCAGGTTGCGGATGCTGAATGGTCGGCTCTCCCTCTACGAAGCCTTAACTGCAAGGGGCTCCCAGCTTCTCCCAGCTCTGTTCGGCAGCGTGTTGAACGGGCCTGGCACCGTGGAGCCTCCCAGGCTTTGGGCCCCATGTGGAGCCTCCCAGCACAGAATCTCAAATGTGTGGCCCAGCGACGCCTCAACGAGCTGTGCCCATGCCTCGGACGGTTGAGGTCACTGGTGACAGAGACTCAGATCGGATCCGCTGGGCTGCGCGTTCGACCGACCCTAAGGTTCATCAAAGAGCGAGGCTGGGATCCAAAAAACACTGCGAATGGCATCAAATGGCTTGCTATGGCTTGCTGTAAGAATGGTGTGGGTTTTGTTCTGATCTATGTTGATCGAGAAGTCAAACATGATTTGGACCTCAGAAGCGCCGGCGATCTGCAGGAGTGCCATTTTAACAGCGTGACAGTGCTGCTGCGCAGTGGTGCAAGTTTGCTGTCCACCGATGGCAGGCAGCCAAACACTTTTCTCCTTGCTGCAAGTTGGATTATAACTGTAAGAAGGACCAGTGGTGTATAGTACTGTACCCAGTTCGCTAGTTAAGGACTTTCAAAGAACCGTCAAACAGACCAGAAATGCATGTTCTCTGGCGAAAAGCTCTGCAGGGGGCGACTGCCTGCCCATTTGGCTTCCAGCGCCGGGACCCACATGGCCTTGCAGCTCTTAGTGAGGCTTCTGCAGTTGGGCTCTCAGGAAGCCGAGAGGTGAGAGCCCAACTAAACCATTGATATGGACGATGAGAATCACCTCTCGGTCCGCAGAAGTCTGGTCGTTTTTTGGGGGGGTACATTCCTTCATACATCAGTGTCTTGGGACCGCTTTTCTCTTGTTCCGCTTTTCTGTGAGTGTGAGATGGAGCTGCAGCACAAAACCATCAAGAGTCTATTTATTCCTCAGGCTCGCACCAGCCACGCTTCTTATCGAAGATGATGAGGGCGCCACGCCATTGGGTTTGCTTGCACGGGCACCGCTCTTGCAGAAGGCATGGGGGCCTAGAAAAGATGTTATTTTTTATTTTTTTGACCATGAGTACGTTTGAGTGGCTTGGCGGCTTGGAGTGCTTGGCTTGATGCCACGAAGGTGATAGAATCTGAAGATGCTGAGCAGGCACGTGACACTGACAGCGCTTCAGCATGGAGTCTCTAACACAAATTCTGGCCTTTCTGGCAGGCGATCATCCTGACGCAGTTTTCTTCGGGAGGGTGCGCAGATGTGTGTGTGTGTGTGTGTGTGTGTCTTGGTGTGTCAACTCGAAACCGACCCGTCATGGACTCCCGGCTAGGCTCTTGTCGCAGCTTTCGGATGCAGTCATGGACTCAGAGCGACCCAGTTCTCGCTCATAGCTCCGCCGTGGAAGTGCAAGCGGGGGAAAGCTATTTGCAATGCGAACCGGGCGCGGAAACGTTGCACAGAGAAGGAATCAGACGGTTGGGCGTATAATTGCGTTCGTAACCGCGTTGTATTACCTTGCGGTACTTTTAACTTAGGAAGGGTACACCAAGCTACAAGTCGGGTGTGTTGAACCCTGCCACATCTAGGGGAACCAGTGCATAGAAAGTCATATTATGCCTCATAGGATAATCCAGGATACATACACTGCGCATGTTGGACCCTTGAAACATCTTGAAACAATAGAAGGATGAGTCCCACGCACTCCAAAAGAAGCAATATGAAGCCATGATCAGTGGCAGTTCAAGTCATCTCCCAGGGCAAGCTTCGCCGACGAAAAGCCTCCTTTTCCATCCTTTTCCCACGGAGTTCATCGGTGGAATCGATTTTTTCCCATCAACTGAAAAGGCTTTGACCTGCGCAGCAGCCCTTCCGCAGCAAACCACGCGGCTCTTACAGCAGTCACCAGAGGCAGGGACGGTACCACAGGGAGGTCAACAGGACGTGAGACATTCTGGGGGGGGTGAGATCAAGACTACGTGACTACATCTTAATTAGTTGGGAATCTTAAATTAAATGATCTAAATGTTTTTCGCAAGCAAATACTCGTACAACTGAAAAGTTGTCCGTGAGCTCAACAATGATAGGCTAGGTGACCCTTGAAAGATGTTGAATATTCCGAGAACGGCAAAATAAACAGACCTCCGCACGTTCGCTTCGAACCACAACAGCCAACCTTGCCAAAGATCGCCCCAACTATCGCCACAAGTCACCAGGCTGCCCGTGCGTGGCGTGTCCTGGCCAGCGCTGGGGGCGGCCGAGCAGCTTTGCTCTTGGCACCGGAGCGGATGGACGAGAGCTTAGAAGACCTGACTTGGCAGGCGCGGTTGGAGCCGGTTGGAGCGGTTCGCGTGCACAGTTCCTCAAAAAATCTGTCGAAATGTGCTAGAAACCGGGGTTTGGGGATGTTTAGGGCCTCAAAACCCTTGGTTTTTGAGGGTCCGGATCCTTAGGGGGGTTTATTTTGGGGTGGTTGACGTGGGTGAGTCCTCATCGGAATCCATTGAATCTGAACAAGTCCAAGGAAAGATCGATTGAATCAATCATTGGGGAGAAGGAATGAGAAGAAGCTGAAGGTCGGCGATGGATGATACGTAATGGATAGTGGATGGTGATGGATGGCGTGGTGGGGTTCGAGGCCACTAGTCCAGTAGCTGAAGAATGACATGACGGCTGCTGACAGATCGGGTTTAATAGAGAAATGAAATGACGGACCCGGGCTTAATAGAGAAATGAAATGATGCACCGGGCAACTATGGATCCCTCGATTGAGGGTTGGATTCAAAAGATCTATAATGATCTATAGTACCCAGGAGATGAGACGGCGTTGATCTCCAAATCACTGAATTGGTCAGGAAAAAGACTTAAAAAAGAAGAACTTCACATCTCACCACTATGCTTGCTATGTTGGTTCCTCTTGATCCACTGGGATCCACTGGTTTTCGCATGTTTCCGCATTCAATGCATCCACACCGGTCAAAATCTGGAGCCGTCCCATTGAGGGGTGCTCTTCAGGAGCTGGTCGGAAAGCTTGCGTCGTCGCTCAAATTCCCGTGTGCATGACGCATCGACACGATGTTATACTGGGTGGATCTGGGCGGTGGTTCCAGATATATTTGTTCAACCTTTAACTACTTGGGATGATTGAACCCACTGACTCATATTTCTCTCACTGAGTTCAAATTACCAACCAGTGTATCAAGCGCTGAGTTTTTGGAACTGCCGTTTTCGATGGGTGAGATCAGGGTGGGGTCTCTTTTCCCGCTATTGTCCGGGCGGATTTTTCTGGGTCGTCGATGTGTTGCACATCATGGAGGATCAGTCGAGGTTGATCTCGATTTTTGGGATTCAACCTCCTCTCCGTCGAGCAGAAACCACCTGCAGAAGCCTGAAGAAGCACAGATCCGAAGAAGCAGCCTACAACGACTACGGCAAGCACGTCACATCCATGGAGCTGACCACATAGATATCGATTATGGCCCCGGTGGACCAGTTTGGTATAGAATCAATGGTGTAGTTTGTGGATCTGATCTTGCTGTCAAGACTAGACGATCAGAACATCTCACAAGTGTTTACACTAAAAATAATCTGTTCGTTAGAATCTTCAAGTCTCGAGTAGAACAAAGAGCATCATAGGTTTCATACTCCCAACCCTCCCTCGCCCTCTCAATGGCCCAGTGACATGTGGCGATTCCCAATTGATTGGTGGAGGAACACATTTCTCCAACCAGGCTGAAGAGCGTGAAGGGCAAGCAGCGGCCCGGCTGAGACAGGCGCCGTGAGAAGGGTATTGGAGGTGATTATGGGTTTCGGTTTGGAGAAGCACCAGGAACGTGTGCATTGCGGCTTCGAAAAACAAGACTAGTTCACATCCATTCACCATGAACCGTCCTCGAAGTCAAGCATCTGCCCATGGTCCATGGGGGACTTGAAGAACTCTGAAGGACGCCTCTCTTTTTAGTAAGGCCAGGAATCCCTAATAGCATCCTTGCTCCGTTCGTAGCGATGCCCTTTGTTCTGTTCGGAGCGTCCTTGCTCCTGGTAGTACGGCCAGGAGCCCCGTTCGTAGCTTGTTCCTAGTAGTAAGAATGCTACTAGTAGCGATGCCAGGAGCCCCT